GCCAGGGTGAGCTCCACGAGCACCACCTCGCCGCCCGTCGTCAGGGCCTTCGAGGGCAGAACCACCCGCGTGCTCAAGTACAGCACCTGTTGCGTGCATGCGTCGTGCGTGCGGTTGGGCAACGGTGAGTGCGGTGAGCGCACACAACACGCACACGCACCAACGCACACGCACACAAAGGAGGAGGGAAGAGAGGGACCTCGTTGTCGTTGACGCGTCGCTTGGCGATGAGGAAAATGTTGTGGCGCTGCAAGAGGTCCGTGAGGGCGTTCGAGTCGGCGGTCACCAGCGGCCCCAGCTGCTGGACTCGCTCGCTCTCGTTGGGGATGTCCTTCCACGCCGCCAGGTAGGCCGACTTCTCGAGCGCGCCGTCGGGCGAGAAGAACACGTTGAGCGGGCACTCGGCCAGGAAGTAGAACACGTCCACGTTGTTCTTCACCGCCACGTGGATGGCCGGCGACACGGGTCCCTCGTCGCCGTCAGCGCTCAGCGGCACGAGCACGTCGCTGGTCTGGCCCGGCCCGACGGCGGTGATGTCCAGCAGCGTCTTGGCCGGCTTGAGTCGGTAGCTGCGTGCGTGCGTGCGAGAATATGAGCCCAGGCGTGTAGTTGTGTGCTTGCGTGTGTGGAGCAGCGGGGGCGCAGGTGGCGTACAAGTTCTTGTTGAACTGGACCATGAACCCGTCCATGGGGGCGTTGGAGTAGTTGGCCAGGGTGAGCGCGAGCACCGGGCCGGAACCGCCGCGACGCACAAAGGCGCCGCGCACCTCGAGCCCCCTGCCCTTCTCTGCCGACAGCAGCACCTTCTTCTCCACGGCCTGCCGGTGCGTCGTTAGTCGATCGACCAGTCAAAAGCGCGTGCGCGTGCGTTGGTGTGGGTACGCACGGGCTGGGTGGGAGCAGGGCCGGGGGAGGACAGGAAGCCGAAGGGGTCGTTGGACGAAGCGGCCGGGCTGGAGTCGAGCTCGATGAGCGAGCCCTCGCCTCCCCTCGCCTCTTGGTCTGTACGCCAACCAACCACCCACCCATATCATCAGCCAACTTGACCACAACTGATGTTTTGGTTGTCGTTGTTGCATTGCAACAATTCCACACACGAGCACGTACCCTCGTCGCCGTCGGATTCGCCGGTGATCCTTCGGCTGGTCTTCATCTCCGCATTGCTGGGGTCAAAGACCTGGATGCGGACCGACATGCCGACAGGCACAGCTCAGCCACCACACATGGCGGAGAATGCGAGGAATGAGGGGAGCGAGAGCAATGATAAATAAATACCTTGACCTTCTTCTTGAGCTTGGACACGAAGGCCTGCGGGGGCTTGTGGTAGACCGAGGCGAGGGTGGCCATGTTGCCGATCAGCTCATCGAGGAGCGACGCGTCGAGAGGCGACGTGTCCTCGGAAATGAGCGGCTTCTCGCCCAACACCACTTGCTGTGACAGTCGTCGAAAGAAAGAGAAGAATGAAGAATGAAGAAGGGGAGGAATGAGTCGCTGAACACACGCTATGCGGAATGCGTGGAATGTGCAGTCACACGTGCTGCGTGGAATGAATACCTTAGCGGCCTCGGGGTCGGTGGAAAGGAGGCGCCAGTAGACGTAGCCCCTGTCGCGGAGATCGGGGTTCTCGCTCTCCTTGGTCGCCAGCTCGAGCGCGTGCTATTGTGTGTGTGCACGACACGCGCGAGAAGTTTCATCATCAGCGACAACGCACGACACGCACGCGACGGCGATAGGGCTCGTCATGGTTCACATGTGTTATGTTACCTGGACGATGTTCTGAGTGGTCTTGGGCTTCTTGAGGAACAGCTTGACGCAGGAGGTGAGCAACTGGAGCTGCACGGTCGAGTTCTCGTCCTGGAAGTTCTCGAGGAAGGTCTCCAGCAGGTCGTCCGCGTTCTCGATACGCTCTGCAACGTCACACCCGACGGTTAGCGCCACACGCCACACGCCACACGCCACACGCCACGTACCAGCGTATTCGCCGATGATCCAAATCATGGAGGCCTTGGCCTCGGGGTCGTCGAGGGTGTCGAGGTTCTCGCACAGGGTGGAGATGATGGACTCGTACCGGTTGGGGTACTTGCGGAAGATGTCCTTGATGACGATGATGGCCTCCTGGACCACGTAGTTGACCTTGGTCTGGATGAGCTCGAGCAGGACCTTGATGCACTTCTCGGCCGCGCGGTCGAGCTTGATCGCGCACCGACCGATGGCGCGCACGGCCTTGCGCACAAACTCCACGTCGACCTCGGTGGCGTACTCCTTCAGCTCCATGAGCACCTGCTCGATGGTGCGCTCGTTGACGAGCATGATCATGATCTCCAGCTTCTCCATCTTGACGTAGATGGGATCGTTGTACTTGCAGAAGAACACCTGCGATGAAACACACACCAGGCGCGGAGAATGCCAAAAATGTGAGCTCATCACGCCAAACATCTTCTTCTTCATCTTCATTACCATCAAGTCGCGAGCAACAGCAGCAGCAAGAAGAAGAAGGAAGTTGGTTTGTGGCGTACCTTCATCTCGTTCTGGAGCACCTGCGGCCTCTTCTGGATGATGAGGTTGATGTTGCGCAGAGCCACGTACTGGATCTCCGGCTCCTTCTGCAGCAGCGTGACTAGTGTGCACACAAACAATGATTGTCAGACAATTTGTGAAAGTGAAGATTTCAGAGAGAGAGAGAGAGGGAGAGAGAGGAGGACGGGCGGTTGTACCGAGCGGGGGCGTCATCTTCTTGCACATGTTCTTCACAAACTCGCCGCTGTTGATGTGCTCGAGAAGCCTCATCAGTACCTGCATATGATCGTAGCGATGAGTGCACTACCGTGAAAGCGCCAGACAAGACACTGACAGTGTAATCACAAAACATGGGGCGGCGGCGGCAACAGACGCACCCTGATGGTGGAGAGGACGACCGCCGAGTTGGCGTGGGCCAGGCGAGGGGTCACTCTTTCCGCGATGGCCTCCGCCTCGCGAGAGTCGTCGGGTGTGTACTTGGACAGGGCGTGGAGGATGAACACTTGACCCCACCTGTGTTGCGTGCGTGCGTGCGATCAGCGCCTGGATGGGCTCGATCGCAACGGTGACCATTGATTTGGCTGGCTCCCAGGCAAAGAAAGGAAAAAGCGTACTCTGTGCACTCGTTGAGCGCGGCGAGGAGCATCTTGAGGTTCTCTGTGTTGAGGCTGAAGACGTCCTCCTTGGCCGTCTCGTCGATCTCCGAGAGAGCAGCCACAGCGTTGGCCACGACCTTTGTTTGTTTGTCGGCGATGCGCGATCGATCGGTTGGTCGATTAGAACTGAGCAAGGCCTGTGGCACTGCAACTCAACGGGTTCCGTACCATGGGGTTGGAGTCGGAGAGGAGGTCGCGCAGCATGTCCAGGAAGCCCTGGGTCTCGACCAGCTCGGGGTTGATGTCCCACACCTTCGCGACGCACACCGCGGCGGTCTTTCTCACATAGGGATCGGCATCCTACACAACACCCAACCGCCAGCGTTAACGTGTGCGTGCGCACGGCATGATGCGCGCGCGGCGGTGCGCGAAGACAACGGGGAAATATGAAGAAGAAGAAGAAGAAGGTGAAGACAGCCCAGGAAAGAGAAGGAGCATGAGTAAAGGAGAGCTGAGGCGCAGGAGCAAAAGAAAAGCTTGGGCAGGGTACCTTGAGGCACTCGCGCAGAGGCTGGCAAAGGTATTCTGTGATCTTGTCCACGCGGATGCAACCCATCGTTCGCACGGCGAGGGCGCGCACAAGAGGGTTGGGGTGTTGCGCATCCTGTTCATTTAATGAGAGCGCTCAGTTGGTGCCAGCGGCATAGCGATTTGTTGCGCTACGAGAATTAATTGAGCGTGAGAGCGAAGGGATGGAAGGAGAAGATTTGCGCGGTGGTGGGGGAGGTTGAACGCACGTGGACGAAGGCGTTGACGGAAAGGATGGCAGTCTCGGGCTGTGTCTTGGCGTAGTTCATAATGTAGAGATACACGAGCTTCTTCAGCTCCAAGTTGGAGGTGCGGATGCACTTCACAACGTCAGGGAACAGCTCAGATACATCCTTGCCCACCGTCATGGCAGCGATGACCTGGGACGCAATGGATTCATTTGAGAAATTGATGGTCATTTGTTTTGTTTGCTTCGATCAATGGCCGGTACCTTCTTCACGGCCTCCTTCTTCACATTCTCCTTGGGATTGTCGAGCTCCTTCTTCAGCTCTTTGATCTCTCCCTTCTTAGTTGTCGTGAAATACTTCGAGTCAGACATGACGATCGGCTACCGTCTCCTCTAGAGGTCTCGATCCGATGCTGATCCAATTCGCCAGTGTTCGCCCGCTTCTTCAGTCCCCCCCCCATCATTCCGCGCATAGCAGAAAGGAGGGCAAAAAGAAATTAAAAGAAATGGTACTTACACAAATACAGGTGGAAAGGTAGAGCAACATGTCCCTGGGCGACGTCGCGCCAAGCTTTGCACTGGAGAGTGACGAGGGACAGGTGGTCCACCTGCACGACTTCAGGGGCAGGTCGGTGGTGCTCTTCTTCTACCCCGGCGATTTCACGTCAGTGTGCACCAAGGAAGGTACTTACAAATGCACTCTTCTTCACCTTCTCCGCGTCTCTTTTTTGAGGTCCGATGTTGTTGGCTCACTCCCTCCCGCTCGCGCCAGCCGAGCACTTCCGAGACAGCATCGACGCCTTCAGCGCCAAGGGTGCTGTGGTGCTGGGCGTGTCGAAAGGTGCGTGCACGTGCCTTTGTGCGTCGAGTTGTCCCAACGTTGCACTCACACCATGCCACTGCTGCCACTTGCTCTTGATGTCGACGCAAACAGACCCGGTCGAGTCGCACCGCAAGTTCAAGAAGGAGCACAAGCTGCCCTTCACCCTCCTCTCTGACTTGACGGTACTCGATGCCAGCCTCTATTGAGCACCACCACCTCAACATCCGCTCCTGCTGGGTTGCACTAGATGAGTGTAGAACATGCACTCACCATGATGCTCTACACGCACGCTACCTCCTTGTTCTTCTTCTACACGTCGTGACGTGCATGTGCTACGCTGTAGGGGAAGGTGCACAGGAAGTACCGGGTGGCGGGCAGCCTCGGTGGGCTGCTGAAGGGCCGCAAGACGTTCGTGATCGACAAGGAGGGCATCATAGTGCACATCTTCGAGTCGGCCCTCAACTGGAAGATGCACGTCTCCGAAGCCCTCGCCCACTGCTGACCAGCTTACACACACAATCGAGCGCTCCTCCTTGCCAGCAAGTAGTGGCTCTCCTCCTGTACTCAAACGTTTTGTTGGCCTTTCTTGCACGCACGCCAGAACTGTACAGCTCTCTCTGCGGCCACCCACCATCAACTCTTTCACCTCTCTCGTGTCCCTCTTGATCCAGATCGTTGGAGTAGCCGGCCAAGTGTTGTGGTGTTGTTACTTGTTGTGCAGGGAGGAGATCGCCGCTCGTTTGCTCAGGCCCACTCTGCGCAAGGGCGTCGTTCCCGCCAGCTTCACGCCGCCCAGTGCTGCAACGTTGTAGCGTCATCACACGTGCGAATGGTTAGCATTGCCACCACAGCAAAAAGTGTCGTGTGTCGTGTGTGATGCATACGGGAAGCTGCTGGCTTGGGCGCAGCGGCAGCTGCCTTAGCTGCTGGCTTGGCCGGCGCCTTCGCCTTGGTGGCGGCCGGTGCCGCCTTGGGCTTGGCCGCGGGTTTGGCGGGAGCAGTCTTGCCCTTCGGCTTCGCTTTGGGCTTTGGCTCCTCGTCCTCCGCGTGGTCACCATCGTCATCCTCCTTCTCCGCTTCTTCTTCCTCCTCCGCCTCGGGAGCTTCCTCCTCCTCTTCCTTCTCCTCCTTGTAGTCCTCCTCTTCGTCTTCATCTGCCTTCTTCTTTTTGGCCGGCGTCGCGCGCGGCTTCTTTGCCTAGACACACGCACCACACACACAAACAACACACAGACGCACGCACACACAGCACACACAGCACACACACACACACACACACAACACACACAAGAAGATGAGCATTGTAGCACACAGGTGAAGCGCGAACGGGCAGGGGCGTACGGCGGGAGCGGCAGCGGGCTTCTTGGGTGCAACCGCAGCCTTGGTCTTGGCTGCTGGCTTGGCCGGCGCCTTCGCCTTGGCGGCGGCCGGTGCCTTAGCAGTGGCGGCCTTCGCCTTTGCGGCGGCCGGTGCCTTGGCCGTGGCGGCAGCGGGCTTCCTCTTCTTGGTCTTGTCGGCCTTGAAGTCGTCGTCGTCATCTTCGTCGCCTCCCCCGCTCGCAGACGGGATCTTCTTAGCTTCATCTTCCGCAGCCGCCACCTCAATCTTCACCTCCTCCTCGCCTCCCTCATTCTCGTGTCCATTGGCGGCCGCCTTTTCCTCAGCGCCTACATCTTCCGCGACTGCAGTTGCTGTGGACGATGCGGTGGTCGTTGTGGTGTCCTCATCCTCGCCTTGGCCCTCTTCATCCTTCTTCTTCTTCGATTTAGCAGCTGCAGCGGGCTTCTTGGGGGCGGCCTTGGGCTTGGCAGCCGCCGGCTTCTTCGGTGTCGTCGTGCGCCTGCGCTTGGGCGCTCCCTCCGCTTCATCTTCTCCTTCTCCATCCCCATTTTCGTCGCTGGCTTTCTTGGCCTTGGATGGTGCGGCTCGCTTGCGTGTAGCGGCAGGCGTGGTCGCCTTCTTTGTGGGCGCTGAGGATGTCTTGCTGCCGCTCGATGATCTGCTACGCCTTTTCTTCTTCTTTACCATCTCGTCGGGATCGAGGTCGCGCATGCTGAATGCTTCGTCCTCAGACTCATCCTCCAGCTTAAACTCATCACCGTCATCGTTACCGCTATCGAATCCGCCGTCACTGTCATCCTCCACGTCAATCCCCTCTTCATCCATGGCCGCACTATCGGCTGCCTCAGCGTAATTCACCTCCTTGCGGGCTCGGCGAGACATCTCCTCCAATCAATCTGCTACAATCCTTATCGTCTTCCAATTTCAATTTTGGCAACGTCTTTTTTCGGCTGATTCCAGGAAAAAAAATCGGCCCGAGACCAAGATTGTTGTGGGCCAGGCGGGAGCTTGCTTGTTTGTTATACTGCCAGTGTTACACAGATCGGCTCTGGCGACCAGCACGCTCCAGCTCTTCTTCCTTAAGGTTGTAGGCTGGAGCGTAGGTGCACCCCTCCACAAGGAGTGCTGGGTTGGGCTTTGTGTTGTTTACCTCCCCAATCGATGTGTACCCTGGTGGACCCAGGCACAACGCAACAACACGCAACAATGCAATGCAACCACTGTCAGTGTTGTAAACAAGAGATGATCCGTCCACACGCCCAGAGTATACCTTTGTCATAAAGCGAGCAGTAGGGTACGCCCATCGCCAAAATGAAGGCCCACACCTCTGTGAACAGTAGGTTGGCATCAACAAGGCCAGAGACAGTTCATCAACAAATGGCGGCCAACTGCGTACCTGAGTAGGACCAATCGAGGATGGGGTTGACTCGCATGAAGGTGGGCCAGCCCGGCGTGCTCTCCGAAAACTCCTCGAGCCGTGCTATGACACGACACACGGTTGTACGTCAATCGCACAGTTCAACTAAAGAGAAGTGTTGCTGTGCGAGAGAGAGAGAGAGAGAGAGTGGGCGCACCGCAGGAGGGGTCGGTGTAGCGGGTGCCCATAAAAATGGCCCGGATGGGTGGTCGTTCCGTTTCAATGATCTCCTGCAGCCCCTCCCGGTACGGCTTGGTCGACTTGATCAGCCCTAGTCGCAGGCTGGCCCAACACATCACATCTCCCTCGTCAGCACCCCGCGTTCGGCGTGTGTGTGTTTTGTGTGACGATGATGCGTGCAGCGAGATCCATTGATCACAAACAATCGGGAGGCGTCGTACCTTTGTGTCGTGTCCATCACGAACTGAGTCTCTTCGGGGAAGCACGTGGGAAACCAGAAGTAGAGGATCCGCATCCAGTAGTGCGCCCGATCTGCTGTGGCCGCACCACCCTCCGTCCCCGCGCGCTGCTCTTCTTCTTTTCCTTCCGACCTCTCGCCCTCGTGCTTCGCCATCGCCGTCGTTTCACCCTTCGCCTTCCTCCCTGCACAGCCTCAATCAGTCATTTGCATGCGTGTGCGTGCGGTGCGCGTGTGCGGTGCGTGCGTGTTCTGTGCAAGGTAGGTGTGTACGGTGAAGGTAGGCGTAGAGGGCGAGGTGGAGGAGGAGCGTGCAGTCTTTCCCTCCGTTGAAGCTGACGGCCAGCCCCTGCTCACTGTGTCGTGGCACCACCATGCCAATGTCAGCGGGCTCTGTGGAGTAGACGAAATAGAAGGGAGCATGGAAAGGGGAAGAGGAGGGCACGAGTAGATGTCGAAGGCTTTGTCGATGACGGCGAGCGAGTGCACCACCTTCGCTGCGAGGGTCGGATTGGACGTCCGTCGTTCGACCTCCCCCGCGAGATCCTCCAGCCGCGAGAAGAAGTCGAAAAAATCGGTCATCTTCTCCTGCATGAGAAAGCATGCGTGGCATAAGCAAAATATGGCGATTCGCCCGCAATGCATCCTACATCCCTGCTTATCTCCATCGCAACAGAAGCTGAAATGCCAGATTTTTTGTTCTACCGAAATTGTTGATACAATCGGCACTGCAATGCGTACGTACCATGTGATGCTCGAGCAGTCCCTAAGGTGCTCTTTCGCACTGCACGCCAATTGCAAACGGAGCGGTATCTGGATGACGATTGTTATTTATTTTTTGGGATTAGGTTTGTGTTTCGGATTTATTTCAGCAAGACGTTCTGGCGGGCCGGTATTGCAATACCAGCTTTATCCACTATGCCGCATCACGAGAGCACCGAGGGAGGGCAGAGAGGCTGCGCTCATACCCATGGCGCGGCGCAGGGCTTCCCCTTTGCCGGTTCCAGCCGTACGTGCATCCATCTGCAGATCTACATCTATCAATCTCATGCACTCTGATTGAGCGTAGGTACTTTGGATGCCTAGCTTGTGCTCACATCACTCCTTTGGCACGCGTGTGCATGGTCAGGCCACTACGCGCCCGACGTCAGGGTGGAGCCTCGTCACATCAGGGCCGAGTACGACTTCCAGATCAAGGAGCGTCGTGCTACGTGCCGCGCTGTTCTGACCGTGGTCTCCAACGACCGCACCGCCAGGTTGGCCGTCTTTGCTCCTCTACTTGCCGCGGCAGCTCAACTGGTGTGAAGCTGACACATGGTGGCGTGGTGACCCAGGACGATCGCACTCAACGCCATCGGCTTCGCGGACGTGGACGTGAAGGACGAAGAGGGCAACCAGCTGGTGTGGACCTACGACGGGGAGCTGATTAACGTCACCTGGGCCGACCCCATCGCCAAGGGCCAGGAGCGCAAGCTCCACGGTACTACAGCGACTACCACTTTCTCTCTCTACACGAGTTCGAGGTGTGCTTTATATATTTATTAATTTATTTTATGTAGTGGCCTACGTGCTGGACCACCCCGTGAGCGGGATGCAGTTCTCCTGCCCCGACGAGGCCTACCCCACGCGCCCCCTGTTTGCTGCTACCGACAACGAGACCGAAAGGTGAGACATCCCCTTCTTCTTTTGTGACGAGCACCACCACGCATACGCTCAGAGACTGAGCATGTGTGTTATGATGGCAACGCCGTTGGCAGGGCGCGCTACTGGCTGCCTTGTGTGGACTTCCCCCAGGTGAGGCAGAGCCTGGAGTTCCTGCTGACGTCGGAGGAATCCCACACGCTGGTGGCCAACGGCGTTCTTCAGTCGGAAGTGACCAACAACGGCCGCAAAACCGCTCACTGGAAGCTCGACTTCGCTTGCCCCTCCTACTTGGCCTGTATCGCCGCCGGAGAGGTTCGTTCGCCCGCTTGTCCTTGCTCGGGCGTACGATCGTCGTGTCACTGTGGCCAATCAGTCTCATTGATTGATTGGTGCTTTCGCTCTCGCCACAGTTTGATCTGTACCCCGACGAGACCGTGGAAGGCGTACCCATCGCTTACATTGCCTGCAAGGGCGTCCCAGAGGAGAGCGTACGTTGTAACAGAAGGCCGCACTATGCAAACACATTCACACTGGCACCCAGCTGCTGACGGTTATTTCGTTTCTCTTTGATCTTTCTTTCCTTGTCACCTTCAGGTGCGGCTCGTGTTCGGCAAGACGCCGGCCATGATGAAGTGGCTGACCAAGAAGGTGGGCCATGCCTTCCCTTTCCCCAAGTACTACCAGATCATCGTCCCCAAAATTGGTACCACCCAGTCCCTCACCGACGGGACCCGTCACACTCGTTTCTCGCTCTCCATCGTTGTCCCTCCAACTCACGGCAACGTTCCACTGTTTGCCAACGTTGACAGGAGGCGCTATGGAAAACATCAGCTTGGTGACGTGGGACGACGTCTTCATGCTCGACAAGAACCTTGCCGCGGAGTGGGGCTACGTCGTGGACAGCGTGAATATCCATGAGATGGCCCACAGGTTGCGTCCCCTTGGATCTCTCTCCCTCTCTCTGGCATTCGACTCACTTTGTCTCACCGTTCGTCCTGCAGCTACTTCGGCGACGCACTTGTCATCCGCCACTTTGAGCACGCCTGGCTCAAGGTTTGACCACCGCACAACACACTGTCATGCACTAACGCTCGAGCGAGTGACTCATCTCCACACGTGCCCACAGGAATCGTGGGCGACCTACATCGAGGCCGCCTGGGTGGAGGACCACGAGAAGCGCGACGAGTTCGAGTACGAGATGTGGTGTAACGCGTCGGGCTACTTCTCCGAGTGTTCATCCTACCAACGCCCCATCGTCACCCGGTATATACCCACACACCATCGCAGCCTTTAATATTCGCACTCGCGACACGGTACACTAATCCACGCCACAGTGAGTACAAAAGCTCATGGCAGCTCTTTGATTCGCACCTCTATCCTGGTACTGTGTACCCACCTTTTCCGATGTTTGTATCAGCCCCCCAATAGTTCTGACGTATCAAATCTGTCAGGTGGCGCGTGGCGGATCCACATGCTCCGCCGCCTCATTGGCGACTCGGCCTTTTGGGCGGCCGTCCAGGCCTATGTCGGGTACCGAATCCGCGTTACCACCACCGCCTCTCTGGACATATCCTGAATTCCGTTATTCCAACCCCCCCAATGCAGGGACTTCCACCAGAAGATCGTGGAAACGGTCGACTTCCAGCGCGCCCTGGAAAAGCAGTCCGGACGCAACCTCACCAAGTTCTTCGATCAAGTACGTTAGTTAGTTAGTTAATCGCTGAAGCTCACTCTCACATAGTACTAGCAGCCCATTTAATGCTTGTTCCCTCCATTTGTCGCTCAGTGGCTCCTGAGCCCCGGGTATCCGAAGCTGAAGGGCAAGTTTGACTACTCCGCAGAGAAGAAGCAGGTCAGAGTCTCCTTCGAACAGACCCAGAAGGACGAGAAGCAGGGCGTGGGCTTCTTCGAGTTTGCTCTCGACGTACGTCAGATCCACCCCTGTTTGTTTTTTAACCTCACTTGCTGGACACAATGTGGTGACCTTTGTCACGCGGATCATGCGCAGGTGGAAGTGGTCGACGAATCGGGAGCTGTTCACCAGGGAGTCGTTGAGATGGACGATGCGACGGGCAAGGCCTCTGTCATCCTCTCGGGCGTCGCTTCCAAGCCCAAGACCATTCGGTACATCTACTACAACTACTACACGATCATGACACGGCGCAACGCGTTTGCTCACTATATCTCCCTCCGCTGTTTTACTGACCTCACACATGAACAGGGTCGACCCGGAGCAAAAGGTCCTGTACTCGCTGGAGATGAACCCCGGCCTCGAGATTCTGACCAACACCGCCAAGCAGGCCCAGGCACGAAATATTCCACCACCATCCACCCACCCACACACACACACCAGCCCACACCGGTGGCGCTCACCAGTCTTTTTCTTTGGCTTGCGGTCCGTTTAGGATGTTGGCAACCGCATTTGGGCTGGCAAAGAGTTGGCCAAGCTGGGCACACGCCCTGCGCTGCGCGCTCTTCGTGAGGTCCTGAAGGCAGAGCCTTTCTGGGGTGTGAGAGTGCAGCTGGCCAAGGCCCTCGCCGAACAGAAGAACGCTGGCATCTTCGTCTCGGAGATCCTGGCCGAAGTCATCGCTTCGGAGACCGACCCGCGCGCCTTCATGCCCACTCTCAATTCCTTCTCGTCCATCAGGTGACTGCACGACACGCAACACGACACACGACACACTACATGCAACGCAACCCTACTTTATTCAATACTGAACGTTCCCATTCCGCTGTAGGGACGAGGTCATGCGATCTGCCCTGCGCAAGTGGATCGAAGCGCACCCCTACGCCTACCGCGGTACGCTCTGGACCTGCCGCCCTCTCCTGCCCGGGCTTTTGACTGAATTCCTTCGCCATGTGCAGGCCAGTGGGCCGCGCTGCAGGCCCTGGGCAACCAGCGGAACGAGGAGGACCTCGACCTGCTCACCGCCGCCGCTTCCCTTGACGGACCCTTCCCCTGTACCTCTCCCACCTGCCCACATCCGTCTCCAGATCTGCTTGGCAGAGCTCGGGCCATCACATTGACCATTGATGGCGGCGCCAGGGACGAGAAACGGAGGCATTCGCGCGTTGGGCAACACCAAGTCGCCCAAGGCTCGCGATTGGCTCGAGGCCAAGCTGGCCTACGGCCAACTCCGCGACAATGGTACCTCTCTTCTCTGACCCCCACATCGTTGGCTTGCGCTTGGTCGCTCATTCAAGGGAGGCGGAAAACAAAATGACCAGCGCGCGAGGCGGTGATCGGAGCCTACGCCGAGTGCACGGCTTACCTGTACGACAAGGACCACGTCGCCAGGAAGGACGCCGTCACCAAGCTCACCGGTACCGCGGGCTCGACTTACTATTCTCCCCCCCCCCACCAACACCCCAAGCTGACATCCTTCCGCACCCTTAAAACTGGTCAACAGCGCTCCTTCGTGAGGAGGACCCGGCCATCAAGAAGGCCGCCGTCACTGGTCTCGTCACCCTGCGAGCCACTGGCGCTGCCGCTGCCATCCGCTCCCTGAGGCCGCTGCTTTCCAACCAGGTCCACCCTCCCCACTCCTCCGCATACGTTGATGTCATGACGTGTTGTTCGTTACAGAGCCCGTGCGATTGTGTGTGATTGTGCGGTTGGGTTGGGTTGTGTGAGTGTGCGTACATCTCACCATCTCCAAACGTGTCGTGCCGCACCAACGCCAGACTGGTCCCTGGCTGGACAGCAAGCTGAAGGCCCTGCAGGAGGGCGCGGGCGAGGAGGTGACTCAGCTCAAGAAGAAGGTGGAGGAGCTCGAGGCGGCCGTACGCAAGCTCGAAGATAAGCAGCGCGACGCCGAAGAGGAGAAGAAGGCCAACGCGGCTTCTGCGGCCGCCACCAAGGCCAGTAGAGCTCACTTTTTGGCGCGAAGAGCGGAGTTGCAATTTTTTATCATTTCAATTCGTTTCTTTTTCTCCTGCCGGCGTTTGTGCATTTGAATTCATTTCGCGGCAAACCGAGATGGAGGCCGCCATGGATGAGCCGCTTTGTCCAATTTGCCAAGATCACGTACTGCAGCTGCTTCCTGATGCACGTCCATCGGACATTATGATGAAGATAATCTGACTACAAATTCCGCACTTTGTAGTGTGCAGAGAAGACTGGCCTGTCGGGCTGCACCCATCACTTTTGGTACGGCTCCTCATGCTTGGGGGCGGGGTAGTGCGTTCGGATGAAGATTTATTTCGAGTAGCAACGCGAAGGCATGCTCGCTCACATCCCAACCACCGCAGTTTCGTGTGCATTGAGCAATGGGCCACGGTGGCCACTGTCTGCCCGCTGTGCAAGACCCGCTTCACCAGCCTCCTCCGTTCCACTGTACGCTCCTCTGTCCCGTGCTGAGAAGGAGCCGTTCAGGCGAAGGCTGAAGGTGTGCGTGTCGCGGGATCCGTTGCAGGCCGGTGGGAAGGTGGAGCAGGTGGCAGTCAAGCCGAAGGACCTGAGGGCTCACTACTCTGACGATGAGCTCGACGGCCTCGTGTCCAACGATGAAGAGGGCGATGAAGGCGCCGCGCGCGCCTTCATGGGTAAATACTCGCTCACACCGCACACGCACACGCACACGCACCACCGCACACGCACACACGCGCCACAGCACACGTCGGTAATAGCGCATGGTCGATCTGGCAGATGACGAGGCCGAGGAGGTGAGCGATGGGACGGCGGAGCGGGAGGCGGAGGAGGCCGACCGGGAGTTGGCTGAGATATACGGCGAGCCGGTGCACCACGGGCGCACGGTCGACCTGGACCTCGTGTCCGACCACGAGTCGGACGACGACGACTCGGAGGGGAGCCTCATCGACTTCATCGTGTCGGACGACGACGCCATCGCCACCTACGCCTCGAGCGACGAAGACGACGAGTACGATCCCAGCGCCAGGCGGAAAATGATGAAGAACAAGAAGGCGGCGAAGGAGAAGAAGAGTAGCAACAACAAGAAGAAGAAGAAGGTGGTCATCTCTCTCGAGGACGATGAGGAAGACGAGGAAGCTGGCGGAAGTGACCGAGGGCGAAGACCCCTCATGGACGACTGCCTCCTGCCTTCTGGTACGTCACCGCCTTCGTGAGTGCGTGAGTGCGCAAAAGTGTGCTGCGTGGGTCGTGGTCTGACGAGTGGCATTGCATTCAGACGACGACGACGACGACGACGACGATTCCAGAGCAAAGGAGAAGAAGGACGAAGCCGACGAGGACGAGGGCGATGAGCAGACGCGGCTTCTCCGAGGCCTCTTCAACGACGATGAAGATGACGACGAAGGGGCCGCCGGCAAGAAGGCCAAGGCCAAGGCCGAGCGCAGGAAGACCGCCAGACGCGCGGCGGCCGATGATGACGGCGACGAGGAGGACGAGCAGGACCGGCTGCGCGCCGATTACGTGGAAAGGAAGCGGGAGCTGGTGGCCGAGTTCGAGACCCGGATGGCGGCCCTCAAGCGCGAGTACGTGGCCGCCCGCTGCGCCGCTCTACTCCGACGCATCCTCCTCCTCCTCCGAAAAACCGGCGCAGCCCACGACCCACCACCTCGCGCGAAGGAGACGGCGCCGCGTCAGTGGCGGTGATGATGAGGACGAGGAGACGATGATGGCTGTGGACGCCGGCGGTGACGAGGAGCAGTCGGAAGAGGACGACGCGGAGGCACAGGCCAAGACGACGAAGAAGAAGACGAAAGGGAAGACGAAGACGAAGAAGAAGGAGCGAAAGCCGAAGAAGAAGAAGACGACGACGACAAGGGCACAGGATAGCGAGGAGGAGAAGGCCGACGGCGAGGGCAACGCAGATACGGCGGAGAAGAAGAAACAGGAAAAGGAGGCGGAGCAAAAGAAGGTTGTGCCGGCGCCGGCACCGGCGGTGGAGAGCAGCAGTGAGAGCGAGAGCGAAGAGGAGGACGACAGCGAGGAGATGGCGCGCCTGCTGGGCGGGGTGGTCATCCCGCCCTCCCGCCAGTTCATCGCTGCCTCCGCCCCTGCCGCCGCCGCCACTACGGTGCGGCCACCGTCCGCGCACCCGCCACCGACGGAGAAGAAGACGACGAAGAAGAAGGAAGTGGAGGACGTGGAGAAGGCGACGACGAAGGAGAATGGGCAGCACACGAAGAAGGAGGCCGCCAACACGACAGAAGCGAAGCAAGACAAGAAGAAGAAGAAACAGAAGAGCAAGAGCAAGAGGCAGAAGAAAAAAGATGAAGAGGGGAAGAAGAAGGCGCAAGAAGAGGTGGCGGAAACGGAGAAGATGGCTCCGCCCACCACCACCACCACGAAGAAGAAGAGGAAGCGAGGACACGATGACGATGATCATCGTGACAAGGCCGGCGTCGAGGTTGAACCACGTGCTCCAGAGGAAGACGAGCGCCGATCGAAGAAGCCCAAGACCACAGCTACTACTCCTCTCGAAGCGACGCCCAACAGCAAGAAGAACCGCAAGAAGAGGAACAAGAAGAAAAACAAGAAGAACAAGCAACAGCACACGTGAAGCGTGTGAACTTACGAAACAACGGAAAAGGTTCAAACAAAAAGAAAGAAAAAACAAACAATAGAAGTAAAAGAAAGAGAAGAGCGAGATGGCAAACGCGAACGCGATGCTCACGGGGCTGTTTGGTGTCTTAGTGTTCGTGGGTGGCCTCATCGGCTTTGTGAACTCGGGCAGCGTGATGTCTTTTGCGTTCGGCCTCGCATTTGGCCTAATGCTGGCCGTGGCGGCCTACCTCATGAATCACCACACCACGCGCAACAACGGCTACCTCCTGTCCTTGGGTGCGTTGCCCCAGGCCATCCATTAGATTGCCACATCAAGTAGCGTTGAATTCATTTTCCTTTTTGGATTTATTTTTGCATTAGGCCTGCTTGGTGCTCTGGCGCTGGTGATGCTGTACCGCTACTCGTTGGCCTTCAAGTTTATGCCGGCCGGCCTGGTGGCCCTGCTCTCCGGCGCCCTCTTCATCCACAACCTCAGGCAGCGAACTGCGAGTGTGCGTCACTAGACTTGGCACAGTTTCAGACTACCTCTACATAAAAAGAGGTCTCCCCCGCCGGGATTTGAACCCGGGTCGTCCGCGTGACAGGCGGAAATGCTAGCCAACTACACCACAGGGGACTTGTTATTGTAAGATTCCCCTTACCAACGCTGGGGCAAAACTCAAAGAGAAAATAGAAGGAAAAGAGGAAACTACCATTTTTTGCTTTGTTCGCGCGAGACAAGATGAAGGTAGCGACTCGACGGAGCACGACGTGGTGGGGCAGCAGCAGCCGAAGCGCCACTTCTACTTTCGTTGGCGGCCGGTCGGTCTTGTGGCCGCCATCGTCGTCGTGCCTCACCTCCGGCTCCGGAGTGTTGGGCGTCCGCCGGCAGTGGTTTGCCGCCAAGGCCGGCAAGCAGCAGCAGACGCAACAGGCCGCCGGCGGGCAGGCCTCGGCCCTCTCCTACTTCGTGGCCCGCACCGCCTCCAACGGCTGCGGCATCGTCGGTACATTTTTTATTTTATTTATTTATTTATTTATTTATTACATAACATTTACATGGCTTGGCTGCTGTGTGTGTATTCCAGGAATGCCTAACGTGGGCAAGAGCACTCTGTTCAATGCCCTCACCAGCAGCCAGGTCTCTACCACTCTTTCCGCCGCCTTGTGAGCCTGCACCCACTCAGAAAGTGCGTGTGTCGTGTCGTGTTGTGTGTCGTGTGGTGTACAGAGGGCGCGTGCGGAGAACTTTCCATTTTGCACCATCGAGCCCAACAGCGGGATGGTGTGGGTGCCCGACCCGCGCCTCGACACCCTCGCCGCCCTCGCCAACTCCAAACGCATCCTGCCCTGCCAAATGGTTCGTGTAACACTCGCGTCGTGTGTCGTGTCGTGTCGTGTGTGCTTACGCGTGTGCGTGTGCGGTGTGCGTGTGCGGTGGTGCATGTGTGCAGGAGTTCGTGGACATCGCGGGCCTGGTGGCGGGCGCGTCCAAGGGCGAGGGCCTGGGCAACAAGTTTCTGGCGCACATCCGGAACGTGTCGATGATTCTGCAGGTGGTGCGGTGCTTCGAGGGCGCCGACGGCACCGAGCAGGTGACCCACGTCGAGGGCAGCGTCGACCCGGCGCGGGACATGGAGATCATCAACACCGAGCTGCTGCTGGCCGACCTCGAGTCGCTCACCACGGCCCGCGCCAAGCTCGAGAAGCGGACCAAGCTCGACGCCGAGGCCCAGAAGCGGCTCGACCTCATGCACCGCACCATCGCCGTGCTCGACGAGGGCCAGCCGGCGCGCAGCGTGCTCATCTCTGCCGAGGAGTGGCCCACATTCCACGCATTCCAGCTCCTCACCAGGTGTGCCCTCGACTCTCCTCCTCTCTTTCCATCCGCCCACCGCTCGCGGCTGACCACACACGACACACGACACACGACACACGACACACGACACACGACACACGACACACGACACACGACACACGACACACGACACACGACACACGACACACGACACACGACACACGACACACGACACACGACACACGACACACGACACACGATCACGTTGCCGCACGCGTGCGCAGCAAGCCGGTGGTGTACTGCTGCAATGTCAAGGTACGTCCGACGCCTCCGCACACGAAACAATACATTGCCTCACGTCGTCATCGCCGTCGTCGTCAGGAAGAGGAGGCGGCCACGGGCAACGCCATGGTGGAGCAGGTCAAGCAAGCCGTCCTGTACGCCCCTTTCACCCCCTCAACTCTCCTTTCACGCCCCGCCCCGCCCCGCCCCCACCCACCCACACGTGTGTCGTGTGTGTTGTTGTGTGGCGGCACTGAATGCAGGAAGGAGGAGCCGGGAGTGGATCCCAACGAGCGGGTGCTGGTCGTGTCGGCCAAGCTCGAATCGGAGGTGCTATACCCCCCCCCCAAGGCGTTCCTCGTCATCTGCTGGGCTTGGATTGACCGCGCGAACACAATTCTCTTCTGTCGTGTCGTGTCGTGTCACTGGCCGTGTGTCGTGCGTGTGCGTGCGTGTGCGTGTGCGTGTGCGTGTTTCATGAGTGTAGTTGGCAAATATGGAGAGTGTGGAGGACCGTAAGTCGTTCCTGGAGCTGTACGGTCTTTCGGAGGCCGACGCGGGCCTGCCCAAGGTCATCCGGGCCACGCGGCAGCTGCTGCAGCAGCACCAGTTCTTCACCGTGGGCGAGACCGAGGCCCGCGCCTGGAACATACCCAAGTACATCCCCCCTTCCTTCCTACCTCGCGCCTCCAACCACACGAGCCCCCAAGCCTCACCCTACGCGTGGCAGGGGCACGACCGCAGTGGACGCCGCGGCCACAATTCACACGGACTTTGCCAAGGGGTTCGTCAAGGCCGAGGTAAGCTGCCTCTATTTTATATATATATTATGTTTACATATGTATATATGCTCTACAACGTGCTGGCGGTGTGCCGTATGTTGTTGGTAATACGGCGAGATTGAGAGACTTGCTACATGCACATATGTAAATGTGTTGACCTTTTTATTGTTCTGTAGACGATCGCGTTCGCAGACTTTGTGGCGGCGGGAGGCGAGAAGAGGGCGAAGGAGCTGGGCAAGGTGCGATTCGAGGGCACCTCGTACGTCGTGCAGGACGGCGACATCATCCTCTTCCACCACCGAAAGTAGAAGAAGTAAAATCTGTTTTGGTGAATCTTCGGGTGCGTGGGTTCAAATCCCACTCCGTTCACTCCTCTTTTGCGCAAGCCACAGACTGATGAGAACCCAAGCCGAACGAACAGTCATCAGGGCCTCAAGGCAGTTGTGCTACGGTGTTGGAAAACAAACAAGAGTCCGTCAAACTGGGCGGCATGAGACCGATCCCCGGCTCACAGCCACAGCTCATGTCACCATGCCTTCCTTCCAGTTGTGGGAGCCCACATTGTGTGGCGTTTGTGGGGTTTTTGTGGGGGTTTGGAAGAAAGCAGGACACAACCAGCACTTGACGAGAGAGCTTTAGTTTTCATTTATAGATAAATAAGCACCTACACTTGTCACATTCATCAAACAACCATGAGACTGCTCCTGATCTACTTGTTTCTAGCCCTGGCTCCTTGCTGCTGGGCTTCCTGCTGCTCCAGCTCCTCTTCTTGCTCTTCTTTGCCATCTCCTTTGCCCTATGGAGTCCAAGAATGTCGGGTAAGCTACAAGCTCACCCTGTAATACAAGGATATAGGGGACATGACACTTACCTTCTTGATCTTTAGGACACTTCACTGATGGATGCTTTCGACTCAGCTCTCGCCATCACCAAAGCCAATGGAAGCTACTCTGATATTTTTGCTGCTGAACTCAGCTCAGGAGCACGTATCTCTTCCTCTCTCCCATGTACTGTACAACGAACAAACCTTCTTCCTCCTCCTCCTCCTCCTCCTCTTGTTCGACCAGTGTTCATCCCCTTGGATTGTGCCGCCGATCCAAGCCTCTTCCCATTCCCTGCGCGCACACCACACACCCTCTTGAATAGAGTACTACGCCGTGGGGCCATCCGTAGCTTCGACGTCGTAGATGTACGTCAGCTCTCGCTCTTCAGGTTCTTTTAAACTCCTATTCTAAAACACCGCACCTCTGCTCATGCAGCCCGGGCTAGACACACTTCTGAATTTGATGATTTCAATCATTTCCAACCATTACGGCGTCCCCTTGACGCGTGTGGTGGTACCCTTCCCGGACAACTCCACCATCGCCATTGAGATGCTCATCGATGGCATCGTGGACCTTGCTGGTCCCGACTTCTCTTTTGGTCCGCCATTTCGCTGATCTCTCCATTTCCTAGCTTGCTCTCGTTGATGTTAATCTGATTCTCTGCAACTTGATTCCTCAGGCGGAGAGTTCATGGGCATCGCCCGGAAGCGTGTCACCCAGCAGTCCTGTGTTCAACTCAACGGCTTGGGCGTCTTCACCGTGCTGGACACCTCTCCGTTCACCTCTTTCGCATCCCTCCTTGCCGCCACCGCGCTGACCACCATCACCAACGCCGAAGGTGCGCCCTGTGCCTCCCCTCCTGCCCTCCATCAGTTGTGTGGCTAACCTGTTGTCACAGGCAGCGCTACCCTCTACGCCTCTGTGATGCCAAACTTGGATGTTACGGTAAACCCCGATCTGACCGACGCCGAAATCGTGGCCGCCCTGCGAGCTGGCACCATCGATGTGGTGATCGACCTCGATGTGGGATTCCTGGCCTCGGAGGGTGTTGACGTGACGGGGCTCAGGAGCTTCTCCGGCGGCTTCGATACGCCGAACGGCTCGCTCTTTGCCATTCGCTGCCTGCAGAGACGCCACTGCAGCCAGAAGAGCGAGAAATGACAGAAGTCGACAGATGTCGCCAGTCCCTTACCCTCTGGTTTGATCGTGTGAACAACGTGAAGTCCCCCCATCACCTTCTCAACCCAATCCACGTCATCTGCAGAAGACATAAAAATGACGACACTGATGGTGCTGTTCTAGAAGAGGAGAGGAGGAGAGGGAGTGAGAAACAAAATGGTATGTGGCATTGCTCATATCAGCATTGAAACAAAAGGGTGGGGTCTCTCGACCTCGGCTCTTTGTTGGGGGGGTTGAACGAGTGTGCAGGGGGGGACGGAGCCTCACATGGCGAGGGCGCGGTGCTTGGCCCTCCGCATGCGGAAGCGGCCCCGGCCAGCGGCGATCTTGGCGCGGCCCTTCTGCTGGCGGGCCATTCCCTTGGCCGTGTGCCGCGGATTGCCCACCACTCGGCCCCACCTGGACGGCGTCACAACCAAATGGTGTCAGCACCAGTTGGTGGTGCGATGTGGGCGTGTGTGGAGTGGGTGCGCACCGGTACTGGAGCATGCCCGTGAGTTTATCCATGTTGCCGCCAATGACGCCCATTGTTGTGCTGGTGTGGCTATTATTATCCGATATAAGTTGGATTGTGTTGTGTTGTGCTCGGTGTTGTGGAATGAATGCGCCGGACTCTCTGCCCACCTCCTTGGACTTTGTTTCGTCCGATGGCCAAGGTAATCTGGTAGGGTGAATTCAAGTAGTTCCCTCCCAAATATCACCGCCTTTTGGTGTTTTTAGTTTTCCAGACCTCTGCGTGATGATGGCCAGGAATAGCTGGAAGGGCCAGTCGTGTAATCCCCAATAAAAAATATGCTTTGGGCAAGCAGTGGGAAAGTATGATTTCTGTTTATATTTTTGATTTTTGTACAAGCAAGGCAGCAAGGGAGATGGCGGACCCACAACCAGCAGCAGCAGCATAATCATCATTATCATCAGGGCTTGATGGGCTTGATGGTGTTGGGCGCGCACGAGCGACGGCGATCAGAGAGGACCTGCAGCTTCTCGAAGTCGGCTGCGAACTTGTGGGTGTTGGTCCGCAGCCGCGGCGACTCCTTGACCACGGCCGGCGGTGGAGGCGGAGGCGTCGGCGGCGACACGAAGCCCTGTTGTTGGTTGTGGTGCGCCGGCGAGCCGAGCGGCGACGACGGAAAGCCTCCGCTCCGCCGCGGGCTCTTGCCGTCGATGCCCTTGCCGCCGCCGCTCAGCTTGCCGATGGTGAGGAGCGGCACGCCCGACGACGACTGCTTGTCCCCTCCCGCCTTGCCTCCGCTCTGCGAATGAATGAATGAAGTGAGTTGCTGCTAACGAGTATGGAAGAGACAGAGCGATAGTGTGTAAGTGTGTAAGTGTGTGTGCCTCGTGTCAAATGGTCATGTTCATACCTTACAAAACTCTCTCTCCCTCCCCTCCCTCACTCTCTCTTTCACTCTCATTCTTTCACCCTCTTACCCTCTCCTCGCCCATCACTAAGGTCATAATTTGGTGGTTGTTGTTGTTGGCTGCTCCTTCCTTCATTTATTCTTGCTGTTCTTGGTGATGGGCTGGCGGAAAGAACGCGCACGAGGACGAACGAAGAGAGAAAAAGAGAGATTGGCCACACGAACGATCGAGAACAACGAAAAACAAAACAAGAAAGAACGAAAACGAAAAAGAGAAAGAACGAAAGAACATGTGTGCTGCGAGGAGATGCGTCGTACCTTTTTGGAGGCGGAGGCCAACACCTTCTCGTATCTGAACATGGCCTCCTCGTCGTCGATCTTCTCCCGCTCCGTGATCTGTGTGATGTACCCGTTCACCAGCAGCTTCTTCGCCACCGCCCCCGCCTCCTCCCTGTCCCTCAGCTCAACCCTGCGCCGCACCATGGTCAGACGAGTGCACGGAATGTTGTGTGGAATGTGGAATGTGGAGGAAAAAGTACCGCTTGAGCAGCCAGTCGATGAGGTCGGTGCCGGTGAAGTAGAGGATGGTGGTGAGCTTGAGGAGGCCCATCTTCTTCTTTCGCAGGGGCAGGCCCGAGTGCTTGTCCATCATCTTCATCACCAGGTCGTCCAGGTGTCTGCTGTCGTACTTGATCTTCTCCTTCTCCCTCTCGTGCTTGTACTCCCCGCACCACGGTCCATCCTGTCGTCATGCACACACACACACACACACACACACGCCGATCAGCCACCGCACACGACACGACACACGCGCACGACGAACCTCGGTGGAGAGAGAGCACTCGTCGCAGAGGCCGAAGAGTTGATCGCCGCTGCGGCGGAAGCGGCCCGCCTTCTTGGTGGGCGGCGCCGAGCGTCGTCGCGAGAGCTTGATCCGATGCTCTTCGCTGTTCTCCTCCTTGGCCTTCCGCTCGTACTCGGAGAGGGAGGTCGACGACGACGACGAGGGCGAGTTGGGCGACGACGACGTCGAGCGGATGATCTCCTCGGGCGGTTCGATCTTCACGGTGCGCTTCTCCCGCTGGCTCTGCTCGAGGTCGGGCGACACCATCTTCTGGGCCGGCAGGATGCCCAGCTTGGCCCCGCTCTTCTCCGAGAGAAGGGTGGCGGCCACCTTCGCGCCCGCCTTGCTTCCCAGCGAACCCGAGGCTCGCCCGCCGCCGTTGTTGCCGCCACCGGCGCCCGAGGGCGAGATGTCTCGCAACAGCTTGTCCAGCTCGCCGTCGATTTGTTTCTGTTTTCGTCGACACACACGACACCGCACACACCGCACGACACACAGTGACGAGGTCAGGGCCGAACCGGGCCAGGCCAACAGGCCACGCGGTGCGGGAGGGGGGCATGTACCTGCTTCTCCTGCTTGGAGGTGGCGCCCTGGAGTCGGGCGATGAGCTCTCGAAGCACCTCCTTGCTCTCCTCGTCCGTTTGCCCCGACACGAACACGTGCTGCACCGCGCGACGACACCGAATGAGTTGATGTGATTGACATTGGGGTGCAGCAAATGATGATGACTGATGGCGATGGGTCGAGGTGAGGAGAGTACGTTGAGGAGCTGTTGGGCGGTGTATCGTTTGTCGGGGTCGCGGACGAGGCACACGGCGATAAAGTCGCGGAAGAGGGATGACCACTCCTCGGGCTTCTTGAGCGTAGGCACCTGATCGTCGCCCGATGCGATGATAAAGAGCGCCTGTGTTGTGTGTGTGTGTGTGTGTGTGTGGTCACCACCAGGCAGCATCGCCGCCGCCACGAGATTTGGGTGATCATCTTGTTGAGCAGCAGCAGCAACTCGTCGAGTGGGTGTGGGGAGCGTGTACGCGCATGGGAAGCATGTCGAAGTAGGGCGGCTTGGTCTCGGCAAACTCGATGCAGGTGATGCCCAGCGACCAGATATCGACGCCCGTCCCATAGTCCTGCTCCAACACCAGCTCGGGCGCCTGGAAGGAAAGAAAAAACACGGGGAGCCAAGGTGGTCATCAGGCGATGTGCGCGTACATGCTGGTGCTACAAATAGAATACAAACACATACAACATCTCTTCACAGAGGGGTGGTTTAAAAGGAAAGAAAAAGAAGGAGGAGGAAGTGGCACCATCCAATAGGGCGTGCCTGTGGCGGTGCGGTGGCGGTCCATCGTGTGGGCCAGCGTCGTTGCGACTCCGAGGTCAGCTGCACAGAGTAGCGCGAGTCATGAGGCCATAGTGGAGTAGGGGAGAAAGGGGAGTGAAAAGAGAGGAAAAAAGAAAAAAAAAGAGTCGTTGGATTGTTGTGTCCGTACCGACTTTGACTTGGCCCAACTCGTTCAAGAGGATGTTGCTGGTTGGCCCGAGCACGAGAGCAAAAGCGAAAGCGAAAGCAAAAAAACTGATTAGAAACAAAAAGGAGAGGGGGGGGGCAAGTAAAAAAGGGATCTTACTCGGCTTTGATGTCGCGATGGATGAGCTTGGCGTTGTGGAGGTAGATGAGGGCTTTGAGGACCTGGTGTAGAACGGCGGCAATCTCGCGTTCGGAGAGGGGCGATCGCAGCTTCGTCATGAGTCGCTTGAGAGAGCCAAGGCCACAAAATTCCATGACGATTGAAAGATACTGGCCCTTGAGGTAGCTGCCATAGAAGGAGGTGATGTAGGGACTCTCGCAATCCTTCAAGTTCTTGATCTCGAGCAGTATTTTCTTCAATTGATTCGGTTCGTCGGTATCCAGCATGATGCGCTTTACCGCCACAATTTGGCCCGTGGCCTTGTCTCTCGCCCGGTACACATTGCCCGTGTTCCTGCGTCCTCGACGTCAGCATCTCTCACCAAGACTTCTTGGTGAAGGGATTTCGTTCTACACGAGATTTGAGGCGCTACACTGGGGACTGGGGGGGGACGAACCCGCTGCCTACAACTTCGAGGATCTCGTAGTAGTCCTCTACTGCCTCGGTTTCATTCATGGTGGCTACGAAGAACCGAACCGCGCACAGAGCAGAGATGCGTCACGGATTATCCAATTGATTGACCTTCACCTTATGATTCTCGATGAACGCAACCCAACGCGGGCGCAGCACAACGTCGTGTTTGCGGTGCAGGTGATATTAATTATGCAAATGCCACAAAATATCCTGGAATGTGGAAATGCGAAGCACGTCCATCAACCCGTGCGAAACGACGGGCTAGACCGCGGAACGTTTCGAAGCATTTCCCCAACGCAGATAGACAGCTGCTTCGGATGCCAGGCCTCATGGCGCCTGCTATTGGCCGAATGCACCGATCAAGGAAGGTGCACAGAGAAGTTGTGCCTGGCAGCAGTTTCGTTTTCCAGTTGTCTCTTCACACCACGCCCGCAACGCACCTGCCTCACCACCACACCGACCTCGTCAAAAGCACAGAGATCGCCGCACCCCATTATCTGCTGACCACAACCTTCTTGACATCAGCTCCGCATTCCATCTCATCAACGGCTCGCCAGCTGTTGCAAGCATCACCACTCTTCTCGCCATCAACGAAATTCTCGACGCAGGGGCTTCCATCGGCCGTCTGATCGAAAACGTCGCATCACCAAAATCGTGAACGAAAGGCCATGCTTTTTGCGAAAGTCAAGAAAAAGAACTAGCCATCAACCGACGAATTAATCCACCGACCATCACATCAACACCAATCTTGCGAACTACAGAAAATCTGCAGAAAAGAAATCCCCACACCTCTGCACCACCGACACACCGACTTCCCTCGACCGAACCGATCGAATCGACAACCCACCAACCAGCGGCTCTCATGTCTCTCGTGATGAATCCATCCGGGGGCGGCAACGACAGCAGCTATGGAGTGGGAGGGACCTACTATGGAGGAGAACTTGTACAAAGCACCGGCGATGCCCAGCGAGGAGGACGCAACGCCGATCAAGACTCTGGCGACGAATTCATGACCGAGATGGCCAAGATTCGCCAGAACCAGGCCGCCGAAAGCGCCCCCGCGACCGGCAAGTACAAACAGAAGCTCGAGGAGGCTCGCCGCGCAACTGTGGACGAGCCCGATAACGGCTACAAGTACCCTGGCTACAAGGCCCGTCGTCGCGAATCGCTCTCTGCCGACGAGACCCCGGTAGTGTCTGCCCCCGCCGATCCCCCCTCTGGAGGTTCGTCTTCTCCGCCCTTTCCCCTCATCATCCCCGCCGTCGCTGCTTTTTGTTTTTTCCCTCTGCACAGATGCTCATGCTACTTCATCTCGTTCGTTCTTCGGTGTAGACGTGTTCTCGCAGGTGCGCACTCGTCGCCAGGAGGACCTGCTGAAGGCTGCCAGGACGCGCAAGAAGACTAAGAGAAGAAGAAGGCCTTTGGCGATCAGATCAAGGGCGTTCTGGCCTACCTGCCCTTCAGAACGTCTCATCTCTCTGGCTTCGACGGCTGACAGACCGACGCCCGGCAGTCCCTGCCCTCCTGTGGTAGCTTACGTTATATCACACTACTCTCTCCCTTCGCTCTTCCCTTTTCCTGCTACGTCTCGACATCTCCCTCCCTCTTCTCCTGCAGCGGTCGTGTCTTGCATTGTCCGCTTCCTTCTCTCCTGTACAGTTTCCTTCCCGCATTGGGAATGTGTTTGTTGTCAATAGCTTCTACAAGAACCCCACACCCCTTCTTTGCAGACCCCTCCTTGAAGAGCAGGAAAAGGAAAAGAAATGAATCGTTTCTCAATTTCTTGGAAAGCCAGCGCGCCAGAACGGAGCGTGTGGCGATACTCCGGTGGACAGACGTCCTTCGTTCTCTCGCCCCCTTCGCATCATCATGCTGCGTTCTGCCCTCTCTCGTTCTTCTTCTCCCCTTGCGGGCTCTGCCTCCTCCCGTTCTTCCCTTGTCCGCGCCTTTTCTTCCTCCCGTTCCACTGCCGCATCTTCATCAGCTTCATCTTCATCTTCCTCTTCCGGAAATCGCCTCCATCGATGTCTGGCCGCCCCTTCTACTTCTTCCTCTGCGCAGCCTTCATCTTCCACCCTCATCTCATCTCAGCGCCCTCTGGGTGCCAGCCTCCGTAGGACCGCGCCCTGGTCCGCGCTGCGCCAGGTGGGCCACGGCTGGCCCTCGCTCGCGAGCCACCACCGCTCGGGCGTGGTCGGCGGACGCGCCCTGGCGCGCCGTTGGCTGTCGACCGAGGCCGAGGGCGCCGAGGACCTGGGCGAAGGCGTGCGCAACGAGAAGCTCCGGAACATCGCCATCATCGCCCACGTCGACCACGGCAAGACGTCCCTCGTCGACAAGCTCCTCTCCCAGAGCGGCACCACGTCCCTTCGCGGCGGCGAACGCGTCATGGCACGCGCACCCCCAGCATTCTTATTATTATTTCTTATTATTTATTACTTTTTGTTTATTTCATTTTTAAACCGACTGGCGGGCAGTGAGGTGCTGACGTCAGCCTTGGTGTGCGCGTGTGTGTGTGTTGCTTGTGCAGGACTCGAACGCGTTGGAGCAGGAGCGTGGTATCACGATCATGGCCAAGCAGACGTCCATCAAGTACAAGGACTACACCATCAACATCGTCGACACTCCCGGTACCATCACTCTCCTTCCCGGCTCGCAGCGGCGACATGCCTGGTCGTGTCGTGTGTGTCGTGTGTGTCGTGTGTCGTGTGTCGTGTGTGTCGTGTGCGAGGCTGACGAAGAGTGTGTGGTGGATTGGGTGGGCGAGCGCAGGCCACGGCGATTTCGGAGGCGAGGTGGAGCGAGTGCTGGGCATGGTGGACGGCGTGGTGATGCTGGTCGACGGCACGGAGGGTCCCATGGCCCAGACCAAGTTCGTGCTCTCCAAGGCCCTCGGCTACGGCCTCAAGCCCATCGTCGTCCTCAACAAGATGGACCGCGACACCATCCGACCGGACGAGGTCGAAAGCGAGGCACGTCCCTCCTCATCACCACCGCTCACGCTCTCGTGTAGAACCATTCGTGTAGCGCCTTTTTTACAATTTTATTTATTGTTAATTCATTTTATTTGTTTGTTTATTTATTTATTTGTGTATACAATACAGCTCTTCGACCTGTTCGTCTCGCTGGACGCGTCGGATGAGCAGCTGGACTACGTCACCCTCTACGCCTCTGCGCGCGAGGGATGGGCCGTCAAGAACCGCACCGCCCCCAGGACCGACATGACCGAGCTCTTCGAGACCATCATCGAGAAGGGTACTACAACTACTACTCGCCACTACACCGCTGCCTTTCCCCTTCTTCATGTGACATCAGCTGACCACTCCCTGGCCACGTCACTACACACACATGTCTTTATTCCTCTTTATATTTATATATACAGTGCCGCCGCCGCTCACGTATCCGGATGCGCCCTTCTCCATGCTGGTGACCACCATGGAATACGACATGCACCTGGGCCGGTACCCTCTTCTCCTCTCCTCCATCCTCTTCTCGAGCCGCACGTTGCCTGACGTACGACGTGCGTGTCGTGTGTGTCGTGTATCGTGTCGACAATTCTAGAATTCTGGTCGGGCGGGTGCGTTCGGGAAGCGTGACGACGGGCGACCAGCTGCACGGGCTGTCGCGCGAGGCCAAGGAGCTGGAGAAGTCCAAGGTGCTCAAGGTGCTCGGCCGCCGCGGCCTCGAGCGCTCCCCCATCGAGCGGGGCGAGTGCGGCGACATCATCGGCATCGCCGGCTTCGGCGCCTGCTCCGGTACGTCGACGTCGACTCACAATGAATCCCCCCCCCTCACTACTACTACTCGCGTCGCGCTCACATGAGTGGTGGTTGCTCTCGTGACGTGCAGTGACGGACACGATCTGTGCGCCATCGGTAGTCCATGCGCTCCCCGCCAACCCCATCGATCCGCCCGTGCTGTCGGTCGTTCTCAGGTGTGTGTGTGTGTGTTGTGTTTGTTGTGTGTGCGGTCGTCGATGCTCACTGCCCGACTTCCTTCACCACAGCGTGAACGACTCGCCGCTGGCCGGACGCGAGGGCACCAAGTTGACATCGACGCTTCTTCGTCAGCGTCTCTACAGAGAGCTTGAGAGCAACGTCACTCTCCAGATCGGTGACACTGGCCGGTACGGCCCTCCGCGTACATGTTGCGTGTCGTGTCGCGTCGTTGGTCGTGTCGTGTCGTTGGTCGTGTCGTGTCGTGTGCGGTGGTGAGTGACGATGGCGAGGTGGTTGCGTGCTGCAGAGAGGGTGCGCTCGAGGTGAAGGGCAGGGGCGAGTTGCAGCTGGCGGTGCTGATTGAGAACATGCGGCGTGAGGGCTTCGAGATCAGCGTGTCCCCGCCCAAGGTCCTCTTCAAGCAGGAGGAGGGCGAGCTCCTCGAGCCCCAGGAGGAGGTCACCGTCGACGTGCCCACCGAGTTCAGCGGCGTCGTCCTCGAGCGATTCGGTATGTCTTGTGTCGTGTGCGGTCTAACACACACACACAACACACACACGACACGACACGACACGACCAACGAACAACGTTGACCCTCTGAAACGCAGGCCTGCGCAAGGGCGAGCTGGTGGAGATGAAGACGGACGGCGACAAGGCGCGGCTCATCTTCATGTGTCCGTCGCGTTCGCTGATCGGCTTCCGGCAGGAGCTCAACCAGCTGTGCCGCGGCACCGTGGTGCTGCACCACCTGTTCCACTCGTTCATCCCGCACAAGGGCGTCATCGAGAACGTGCGCAAGGGCGTGCTCCTCTCCAACACGAACGGCACCACGACCACCTACGCGCTCGAGAGCTTGGAGCAGCGCGGCACCATGTTCGTCGGACCCGGCACCACGGTCTACATGGGCATGATCATCGGCGAGAACTCGAAGAAGGGCGACATGGACGTCAACCCGGTCAAGGCCAAGGCCCTCACCAACATGCGCACCCTGCTCAAGGACGAGAACGTTCGCCTCACGCCGCCGCGCATTCTCACCCTGGAGGAGGCCATCACCTACATCGCCGGTACGCGACCCACTCACATTTCTCATTTGTCTATTTTCTATATTATATATTTATACAGTGCTATCATAACAATTAATTGTTGATGTGTTGCCGCCAGACGACGAGCTGGTCGAGGTGACGCCCTCGGCCCTCCGCATGCGAAAGGAGATTCTGGACACGAGCACCCGCGAGACCATGGCCCGCCGCGCCAAGAAGTCCGGCTAAAACGGAAGTTCGGCCCACACACCGCCGCACCATCACATAGGCACATCGCCACAACAGCTTTGTTGGAGCACACTTCACCCCAACAACGTCCACCACAATAAAGTATCTTCGCCAGGCCCCAATCCGATTGACAGGAACAGGAATGCCATCACGTGCGTGTGCCAGATCCGTACACGTCAAAAGCCAGCCACTGAGATTTCCGCAAAATATCACCTCCAATCCTGGCACAGGGTCAAAAACTCGCCCGCAGTCGATTTTGTACAAAATCACCACAACCACTCCTGCATTTGCACCTACATCTGCAGCCTTTGCCTCCATCTTGCTCTCATCATCTGTCAGCTCGAGTCCCAAATCCACCGCACAGTCACAAATGGACGTTGAACTGGGAAGCATGGGCCGCCGACCCCGCACGGGCTCTTTGGATCAATCTAGGCCTGCACCTGCGGGCGCAAATGCGCCGATCAAGATTGTCGTAGCTGTCGATGCCTCGTCAGGTGCGCAGACCGCATTCGTGCGGGCCGTGGAGCTCCTGGAGAAGAATCGCAACCCCAATTCGATGCTCTACGTGCTCGCTACGCGCGCCCTTCCCGCCCGCTGGGGCACCGTACTCCTGCAAGAGGACTCCACCCAGTCCGAGCAGGAGCGGCGCGAGGAGGACAAGATCCGCCAGCTCCTGGCGGTCTACGAGGACCAGCTCAAGAGCTTCAAGGTAGTGGCTGCCCCCTCATCCCTCCTCTGCACCAACATTTCTCATTCGCATTCTCATCTTTTGTCTTGGATGCACAGTTCCGCCACAGGTCGGGCATCTCGCGAGGTGATGACGTCGGGTCAGCCATCTGCAAGCGAGTCGAAGAGCTCAAGGCCGATCTGCTCGTGTTGGGCAGAAGAAATGTGGGAACCATCAAGAGGTAAAGCCGAGCCTCTGACCCCTTCAACCGCCACGACCACATTCTAATGGCGTGTGTTGTGTTGTGTGTTGTGCACAGAACCGTGACGGGCTCCGTGAGCGAGTACTGCGCTGCCAACTCGTCCGTCCCCGTGCTCATCGTGGAGGACAAGGACTGATGAGCTCCTCCTGCGCCGCAAGGACTTGCTTCTTCGTCGTTGGTTCATCCGCGTGAGCTATGGCCCTCCTCCCCCCACTCCCTTTTTCCCCTCATCTTTCTTCCTTGTTGTGTGTGTACATACCGGCAGTCCTCTTCAAGGTCCCCTTTGAGTACTCAAGTAAATACCTTCGTTTGGCGGCCGCTTTCGTCTTGCACGATACACGACACACTCTCCTTTGGCTCTCTCACTTGTGGCCACCCTTTCGCCCGCCCCGATGGCCGCCGCCCTTGCCGCCAGACGACGTCGATGACGACGATGAAGAGGAGGAGGACCAGGCAAGGCTCGTGGCGGAGATGGCGAGGCCCTCCTCGAGCGCGCCCACGGCCTGGCGCGCCCCGCGCAACGCCGCTCCCATCTGCTCCTCCAGCTCCGCTATCCTACACAGCCCCCCATCACCACCACCAGCCACCATGGTTGGCGTCAGTGGCGCGTCGGTCGGTCTGGTGGTGGTGGGGGGCTAGTTAAGAGCACGCACCGCTGGCGAAGGAGGTTGTTGTGGGCGCGTTCGGCCTTGAGCTGCCGCTCCTGCTCGGTCCGGGCCTCAGTCTCCTCGACCAGCTCCCACTCGAGCTTGCGCCGCGCCCGCTTCTCCTCCTCGAGCTCCTGCATGAGCTCCTCCATCCGTCGGTAGTCTACGCCCCCGTCCTCCCGGGCGATCAGCGCTGGGCTTGGCCCACCTGTGGCGGGTGTACGTGGGGGGCAGTGGTCACCGTGGTCTTGTGCGGACACGAAGAGGGGATCGGCCCCGCGCTTGACGTGGATCATGAAGAAGCCGCGCTGCTGGATGAACTGCCGCAGCGAGTCCGACCGGAGGCCCGCCTCCGCGAACGGATTCACCGGCGCTATGCTCAACTGGTACTGCAGACACACCACCGCACACCGCACACGCACGACCGCACAAAGCGCAACAGAAGCACGATTGGTCAGCCGCGCCCATGCGTCGCGTGCCAGGCTCGCGTGGTGGCCTCCGCAGTGGTGGTCGCGGTGCGTACGTCGGGAGGGATGTCGAAGGCGCAGGTGCCGCGGAAGGCGTGCTCGACGGCGGCAGCCACCTCCCGATCGGCGGGCGAGCGGGAGAGCCACTCGCGCTCAAAGTGCACCTTCACCACCCCGTTCGCCTGCACGCCCAGCGCCCACGGTAGCCCCTCCTGCCCGCACCCCCCCCCCACGCCAAACGTGTGTGAGCCACCGGTGCGGCATGCCAAGCCGCCTGCACTCGGCATAGAGTTGGGCCCACAAGGGGCCGGTTACCGCAGCCACTGCGCCCGGCAGCTCTGGCGGAAGCGCTGCCTCTGCTGGTGCCGCCGGCTCCATACTTTTGGTTTGGTGGCTGGTTGATCACCAAAAGCAAACGACCGCTACTTTCTTGCCTTCTTTCTTTGGGGGGGGGGCAGTAGAAACAGGTGGGTGTGCGGAACATGATGTGTGCAGAGATATATACGTATGTATGCACGCACATATGTACGGACATGAAGAAGATTGGTGTATTGGGGGGGGGGAGGGGCATCCCCCGACAATCGATTTTAGAAATACAACAGCTGTAGTACTAGCTCAGTCCTCCCTGGTGGAGGGCTCGAGCGCCAGAGACAGGGCGTAGAGGTCCGATTCGTTGTGCGGTGCATTCACGCCACGCAGCAGGAAGGACTAAAAAGAGACGACACACACGGCACACGGCACACGACACACAACGCGCGCCTTGTGAGAAGAGAGACAGTGTTGTTGTGTTGTGTGGGTGATTTCAAACCTGGATCTCGAGCACGGGTACGAGGTTGTAGGTGGCCTTCTGGTACTCGCGGAAGGGGAAGAGGACCTCCGTGCAGTAGAGCTGCCGCTTCACAAAATTAACGAGCCCCTCGAACGTGTCTGAGTGCACGTTGTTGATGAGCGACAGCTGCGAAAGACACATCGCCCTGGTGTGTGTGTGTGTGTGTGTCGCACAACAACAATAACGCGCCACGTCAGCATATCTAAAAGCAAGTACACGCACCGGGTGATTGGAATGTGAAGACGTACAGGGAAGGAATGCCAGGCAGCTTGGGCACGGAGAGCATCTCCTTGTTGATCTCGCGCGCGGTCTGGGCCAGGGCGAGCAGCTCCCGCTCGACCTTGATCACCGAGTTCCGTTTTCGCTTGAGCTCCGCGTTCGTCTCGGCCAGCCGCGACACCGCCGGCGACTCGAGCGCGCCCACCACCGTCAGCATGCCGTTGAAGTTATTCAGGTTGCGCAGGTGCTGCACTCCGTTAAACTACATCGTTAGGACTGCGTGTCGTACGTTAGGTGTGTTTGTGTGTGTGTGTGTCGTGCGTGTCGTGCGTGTCGTGCGTGTCGTGCGTGCGCCATGAGCGAGGAGAGTACGAGGGCGATAGCGACGAAGCGGGCTTTCATTTTGGCCCGAGCGCGCGGAGTCTCCTCGTGAAGGATGGTGGCCACTACCCACAGCGACAGCCGGTTGCAGTAGTTCACGGCGTTCATTACGTCCGTCTTGCCGCGCGCGTTCAGCAGCTCGTGCGCCTGCACCACATTGGCTATCAGATAACTCACCAATCGAACCAATGCCTGTGTGTCGTGTCGTGTCGTGTCGCGCCGTGTTGCGTCGCGTCGCGTCGTGTCGTTGGTCGCGAGTGCGTCGTGTGTCGTGCGGTACGTACCTTGAGCTTGCAGATGAGGGCGTGTTCGATGAGCGTGAGCTGTCGCGCCGCCTCTTCCTCGGAAATGTCCGTCAGCGCAAGGCGAGGCGAGGCTAGAGAGATCTTCCCCAGCTGATGGCCACGAAGAAGAAGAAGAAGAAAAAGAAGAAGATCATCAGCGTGCGATCAAGCAGACAGGTGGAGAGGAGGAGGAGGAGGAGGAGGAGGAGGAGGAGGAGGAAGGTGCCTTGGGCTTGGGCGGGGAGAGGCTGACGGCGTCCATCATGTCCGACGAGCTGAGGCGCTTGAGCTTGGCCGCCAGCTGCTTGGTGTGGAACTGGTTGTAGAGCGAGGTCTTGAGGATGTTGGCCAGCGTGTCGCGCCCCTCGCGGATGAGCTTGCCCAGCACGAACGTGATCAGCATCGGGAAGAGCGGCTCAAGCGGCGAGTCGCCCACCTGCGACGACGCCTGCTGCTGCGGCTGCTGCTTGAAGTCCTCGACAAAGTACTCGTCCATCCACAGCTTGAGCACGTTGCAGATCCGGAACTTGAGCGCGCGGATGTCGGCCTCCTCCTCGAGCGTGATGATCGAACGCTCCCCGCTGTGCGGCGGAAACGGAAACCACGTCGCCGTCACGTCCTCCGGCCCTCCAGCGCCCGGCGAACCGTCGGCCCGCTGGTACCTGCGCCCACATCCACGCGATCAGCGGCGAGGCACACGCACACGCACACACACCACCGCACACGCACACACGAGAAGTCTCATGGTGGACGAGGCGTACAGAGCGAGGAGGGTGGTGAGGAGGACGGCGGGCGTGGTGAATGTGCGGTAGGTCATTAGGAACACGCTCACGTAGGACTCTGCGAAATTGTTGTGCGTGTGCGTGTGTCGTGTGCGTGTGTGTGTCGTGTGTCGTGGTGAGCGCCATCGAAAGAAGGTAAGGAGAGTGGGTGCCGGGCGGTCGGTACCGGGCGGCTTCTCGGCGACGAGGCGCTCGACGAGGCGGCCGAGGGAGCCCGAGCGGATCTCCTTCTCGTCGGCGAAGATGGTGTTGCCCACGCCGCAGTCCTCGGCCTCGCCGTCGTCGTCCTTCGTCGCCGCCGCAGAGGAGGTGGCCCCGTCGGCCGCTGCTGGCGACGAGGGCCGCGAGAAGGCGCGCCCGACGGGCGGAGACGAGGGCGAAGAAGTAGAAGTAGAAGAGAAGAGGGGCGTCGAGGCGAACGACGATAGCGAGGCGGCAGAAGGTGGAGACGACGGGGGCAGGTCGGCGAGAGGGGGCAGGGGCGACCATGGTAGCGCCATGGACGTAGAGGAAGAAGTGGAAGTGGAAGTAGAAGAAGATGAAGATGAAGAACACGTAGAGGAAGAGGAGGAGGGACCACTACTCGAGGCGGAAGAGAAGAGCTCGTCGGGGTCGGCGAAGTGTGGTGGGTGCAGGTGAGGGTGGTGTCGGGCAATGGCGACCGAGAGGGAGTGCTCGTAGAGGTGTTTCCAGAGGCTGAGGTCAGATGCGATCACATTCCACGACGTGCACACCTTGGCAGCCGCCAAGATGGAGCGCGGGTCGAGAAAGCTGAAGATGTAGAGGCACACCTCGTAGGGGAGGCAATTCATGAGGTTAAATTCAGCCGTTGAGAGGAGGTCTTCCTGCTGCAGCAGATTCAGGCTGCGCTCGCCGATGGATCGCAAGATGGTTCGAATGTAGGCACCGCCCTCACGCCTCACCTCCCACAGCATGGCCTCGCCACTTCTGGTCAAAGAGGCACTTTCATCGCCGCCCCACATTGACTGTCCCACCATGATGATAGGGACTCGTGCTTCCCCCTCCCCGGGTGCGATCCATGCAACACACTCCCCCCTCGCAGATGTCGATGGGATCGTTGCTGTGGTTGATGGTCGGTCACCCAGGTGGTGATCCTTCTTGCAACGAAAGAAAAAGGCCTGGAAATAAAATAAAATACAACTCGAAAACGAAAATACATCTTCAGCCCTGAGGATGGAGGCCTCCATCTCTTCTGGCCCGCCTCTTGCCGAAGAAGCCGAGGCCGAAGATGCCAAAGGCACCCCACCGCATTTGCCCGCCATCGCAGCAATAGCCACCACAACCAGCCCCGCAGCATCTCCAGACACGCCTGCCACGACGAGCCCAGCCCCACCACCAGCCTCGCCGCGGCTCGGGGGGTGGGCGTTCTCATCATTCCCGCTTCCCTCCTTCACCCGACGCGGCCCCTTCGCCTCCTCGTCAGCCCCTGCCGCCCCCCTGCCCGCCCCGAGCCCCACCACCACCACCGCTGGCAACCAGCACCCGTGCGACAAGGACCCGCCGCCCTCGCCATCACCAGCAGCCGCAGCGGTAGCGGCATCAACAGGAGACAAGGCACAAGTAGAGGGGGCCGCTCCTGGGACCCAGCAGGAAGGGAAGGAAGAAGCGGAGGAGCACCAGGAGGAGCACCGCGTAGAGGCGCAAGAAGAAGTAGAAGAAGATGAACAGCAGAAGCAAGAACAGGAGGAGACCGAGTCAGAGAAGGGCGTACCTCATGTCGACACGAGTAGCGGCACAGCCGCCGCCAGCACCACCGCCAAAGAAGAAGATGGGCATGACCCCATCCACGGCGGCCCGCGCCGACTCGGAGGTGCCGCTGCCGCTACCCAAGACCTGCTTCCAACCTGTGTATGGTGTATGGGGCTCATCGTGTGCGGTGTGGTGCGTGTGTGCGGTGGTGCGTGTGTGCGGAACGCAGAATGGCTGTGGGCGGGAATGCGCGGCTACTACACGGGACCCGGCGCGTTGGTGGGGGGCGTGGGGGCGGGTGTGGGCATGGTGGTGGGGCTGCCCCTCAACCTGGCCGGCCGCTTCAGCCCGTGGGTGGGCTTCCGCACCACCCACCCGCTCCACTCCGGAGGCGACGACGGGCAGAGCGACGGCGAGGAGGCCGCCCTCATCGCCGCCTGCGCCCACGACTTCAACGAACGCCTCCTCCGCCCCGACGCCCGCCCGCTCCTCGACCAAATCACCGCGTATACTGCACTCGCCACTCCAAAACGCCTATCAAGATTACCCACGCTCACTCACGTGCCGTGTCGTGTCGTGTCGTGTTGTGTGTGTCGTGTCGTGTCGTGTCTATGTTGTTATTGTTGCGTGACAGGTTTGTGGCGGGGCACGACGCGGGGGTGGGGCTGGAGGAGCAGGGGCGCGCGCTGCACGCCTTCGTGGACAGCATGGAGGCGCAGATGGCGGTCCACCCGCTGTGGAGCCATCTGCCCGTCGATTCTGGGCGTGCGCTGCTCGTCGAATGCCTCGAGCGCCACCTCACGCACACCCTGCACTCCCGGTACTACATGTTCATTTACATATTTTTTTTTTATGTCCGCTACTGCGTTCCCGCTCTACATTGCATTCGTTGCGGTGCAACTCTAATTTAGGTGATGGGTGTCCAATCAGGATCTTTCTCTGCGGACCCTCGGCGGCGCGTCAGGACGAAGACCTCTTCCGCCGAATCCTCTCGCTCCAGTTCATCGGCACGCGGCAGCTGGGACTGCCGGCCGGGCTGGCCCGCGTCTCCCTCGAGTCCGCCCAGGAAGGTTCATTCCGCCTCAATTCTAGACGCATCTGGCCACCTCAACCAATCGCTTTGAAATTTTGAATTCGGTTCGTTGACCGTCAACCAACCAATCGAATGCATTGGTGTGGGGGGGATTGACTTCACAGCCCTCTTCACGATCAACTCCAAGCGGTCGCCCTACGAGAAGACCTGCTGCCTCCTGCGCTGCGCTCGCAACCTGCTCCGTACCGTTCTCCTCCCAATACCTCTGCACACAAACACCCCACTCACACATACACTTGTGTGTGTCGTGTGTGATATTTGCATGGCGGACGTGAAGGGAAGCTGGCCGAGGCGTCGAATCGCCGCACGGAGGAGATCGGCGCCGACGACTTCCTGCCGGGCCTCATCTACCTCCTCCTCAAGTCCAACCCTCCGCTCCTCCACTCCAACCTCCGGTGCGTGTGCAGTGGTGTGTGTGCGCGCGCGCGGCAGTGGTGCGTGTGTGTGCGTGTGCGTGTGCTGCGGTGCGTGTGCGTTGTCCCCCGAAGCTCATCACCGGCGGCTCACGTTCTTTCTTTTGTTGGGACCAACCAAAGGTACATCTCCTGTTTCCGCCACCCGGCCCGAGCGGCGGGAGAGGGCGCGTACTACCTGGTCCACTTCGTGTCGGCCGTCTCCTTCATCGAGAACCTCGACGCCGCGCTGCTCAACATGGACCCGGCCGACTTTGAGCTGTGCGCACCCCTATCCTCCTCTTCCTTCTTGTTGTTGTTATTGTTGGTTTTCTTCTTCTTCTTCTTCTTCTTCTTCTTCGACTGACGTTTGCTCTCTGCAGAGGGCTGAGCGATCCCGACGCGTTTGCCGAACGGGAAAGGCAGAGAGATGCGGAGGAGGAGGAAGAGGCGCGAAGGCGACAAGAGGAGGAGGCAGCAGCAGCTCTCCGACGAAGTGACAGCGATTCGGATGAGCTGGAGGGTGACGTCAGCAGCTGGGTCTACCTCAACAAGAAGGTACCCGGCCAAGACCTCGTGGTCCACCACGCCGGCACACAGACCGACATCTCCGCCTTCGCCACTTCTTCTGCCGACAACACCACCGTCGACGAGGCCAACGAAGAAGAAGGACAAGAGGACCGGTTCCTCGACGTAGAGGCGGAGCAGCTTGGTGCTGCAGACGTGGCCGAGCTCCTACAACGCTACAAGCTGCTCGTCGAGCGACTTCGTCAAGCATAGATCACGGACCCTCTCAGTTTGCTATGAGCACGTGTTTGTATTTTCCTTCAAGTTGTAAAAAAGAAAAATGTTTTCCCTGTATTTTCACGGCGGAGGGGGGTAGATTTAGAAGAACTGCGGGCCGGGTGTAGATTTGTTGGTGTTGTGTGGCACTCGTCTCCGCAGCCCGTGATCTCGACGCACAAATCGTTCGCGAAAAGATGGACAAGCTTCCCTCACCACCCGCCGCTGCCCCGAGCGCCCTTCCGAGCGTTCCCGTCATGCCTCCCCTTCCGCCTCTCGCGGGAGCAGGATCTCCATCAGAGCCCATCGCTCCTGCCGAAACTCACAAAGAAGCGCCTCCAAGCTTCTGGCGGCGAGTGCTGGATCACGGCCCACTGCCCTACCCGGGCAAATTCGATGATCTCTCCAAGGAAAGCAAGGGTAGGAGCTATACTTCTAATTTCTGTGATTAGTGTAGAATTGTGATTTGCATCACAATTCTAATCTTGTACAAATAATTGTGAACCTCGTGCAGGAATTCTGGACTCGAGGGAGAACTTTGATGGATTCAACTTTGATGTCTCACGCACCATCACGGCCAACTTCGATATGACCCACGCCATCCACTTTGGATCGCAGACCGAGCCGCCCTCCTACAACTTTATGACACGCTACTTCTCTCCCACCGGGGTACTTACTTCCTGTTCTTGCCAGTTGGATTGATCTCTGGTCGAGCTCGTGGCGAGGTGTACACGATGGCATGCACCTCATGAGCTGGCGCACATGTGCAGATGTTCCTCGACGGCAAGCTCAGCCCCGGTCCCATGCTGCTCAACGGCACGGTGCAGGGCCGCATCGCCTTCCCCCTCAAAACCTGGTACCGAACCACTCCGGGCGGAAGGAGCAAGCCCGTCTCCAAACTCTCTCTCCGCCTCACCGGCGTCGTGGGCAAGGTGCGTCACCTCACTCCCTCCACACCCACACACACCTGCACCCCACATTCGCCCGCGCAAAGCGTTTACGCTGGTGTGTGCTTATGTTGCGCGCGCGTGGGAGCAGCCGTCGGCGAAGCCCATCCCGCCGCAGTTCAACATGGAGCTGGACATGAAGGGGTCGGACTACCAGGCGCAGTTCAAGTGGCACAACCCGGGCATGTACGAGCTGTCCTACGCGCAGAGCGTGCACCCGAACGTGGCGCTGGGCCTCCACGGCCTCTTCGACTCGCGCATGGGGCGGACGGAGCTCACCGCGGCCGGGCGCGTCGCGTGGAACGGACGAAAGTGCATCGCCACGGCCTCGATGGCCTCCTACGGCCACCTGACGAGCTCCTACACGCAGGTGATGGAAGACGGGCGCAAGTCGTGGAGCACGGACATGCAGCTCATCCACCTCGAGGACCACGGCGTGTGGGAGGCGGTCTACTCGGCGGGCTACGCCTACAACCTCCTCCAGTCCCGCGTGCGCGGCCGCGTCGACTCGAACTGGTGCTGCTCGGCCATCCTCGAGGAGAAGGTGCTCGACACCGTCACCCTCCTCATCTGCGGCGACATGAACTACGCCAAGGACGTGTACAAGGTGGGCTTTGGCTTCTCCTTCCACTTGTGAACAAACAGCACCACCACCACCCCCAGCGTTTCTGCCCCCTCAACCCCAACCCACTTCCATTTCTTTTTCTTTTTCCTCGCTCTCTCCTTGTGTCGTGCCATTTCGTGTGTGTGCGTGCGGTGTGTGTGTGTGTCGTTGGCCAAGAGGAAGCTTTAGTTTTAACAAAGGCTTATGACACCCCATTGCCGAGTTAGGGCTGCCCAGTTTTGGTGGTGTAGACGTCGCGGGCGATGTAGGCCTTGATGCGCTCCCTCCCCGACACGCTCTCGATGAGCTTCTTCACCGCCGGGAAGGCGCCCAGCAGTGCGTCGCGGCTGCCCTCCACCCGGGCGAACACCAGCTCCAGAGCGACCCACAAGTTGAGGTCGGCGTAGCTCAGCTTCGCGCCCACCAAGAAGGCGCCCTTGTTGCCGTTCTTCTCGAGCAGCTTCTCGAACATGGCCAAGTGCGCCGGCAGGGTCTCCCTGACCAGCTTCTGCTTGGCCTCGGTCTGGAGGGCGGCGGGTGTGCGAAAGATGGGCTCGGCCATGGCGGTGATGGTGTCCACCACGCCCTCGTTGGCCTGGTCGATCAGGGCCTCCTCGTGGGCGTCGGCCCCGTTGAAGCCGAGCTTGCGGGCCAAGTGGCGCGCGATGGCGCCGCTCTGGACCAGCGTGAGCCCGTCGGGCTCCTCATAGAGTGGGACCTGGCCGAAAGCGAGCTTGCCGGCGGCGGTGAGGCGGGCCTTGTCGTCGGACCAGTCGGGCCAGTTGGCTACGGGCACGAAGTGGTAGTCGGCGCCGGCGTCCTCGAGCATCAGGCGCGCCACTTCGGCGCGGCCGATAACGTTGAAGTAGGTTAGGGTGGGCTTGGTCACAGGGCTGGTCGTGTTCATTGTGGTTTGGTAAGTGAGTGCTGTGTTGTGTGGATTGCCGCTTGGCGGGATGAACTTATTAGGAGGTGTGCGCTTTGCGCCCGCCCAATCGCAACAAGCCGAAACTGCCGCTTGCCTGCGAATGGGCCGCAGCATTGCCAGTATGCCCATTGGCCCAGGTGTGATCATTGTTGACTCCCTTCTGGCTCAGGGCGTGGGTATGTCCTGTGCGCAGGTAGAACTGTCTTTGGCCTGCGTGCCCAGGGGAGGTAGCTGGAGTGGTGTGCGGTACCGAACCACTCCGGGCGGTGTTCATTTCTCAATTCATTTCCTTTCTTCTTCTTTACCAGCGCAGCCAAACATGGAAGAGGAGGAGCGATGTCCCATCTGCCTGGAGGACTTTTCCATGGGTCGGGGGAGGACACTACGGGAGGCCGGGGACGTCTTCTCGCCCGCCTGCTGCCGCCAGCCTTTTTGCGGTACCCCACCCCCAAACCCCCCTCTCCACGTGCGGCCGTGTGGGTCTAACCGTGCCGCAGGACGCTGCATCGTGACCCACCTCCAAAAGCGCCGCGACTGCCCTCTGTGCCGACAGCCCATCAGGGTACATGGACCCCAGCCAACCAACCAACCAACCAACCAACCAGCCAGCCAGCCAACCAACCAACACCAACCAGGCCCTCCAGAGCAGTCGCGTAGAGGAACAGCAGCCTACCAGCCCACCACCAGTAGCAGGGGGTGGGAGAAGAGCCGCGACAAACACCCTGGACACGGTGTGCCCACCATGCCCGCGCAGCTTCTCGTGATGCTTGTGGCGGGAGGGTCCAACTCGTTGTGTGTCGTGCGTCGTGTGTGTCGTGTCGTGTGATGAGCCGCCCTAGGTGGGTGTGGAAGTGCGGTGCGGGCGACAGCGGTACCACAGGGTGTCGGTCCGGCGCGACAGCTCGCTGGAGGAGCTGCGTAGGCGGCTGAGCACGCTCTTCGTCATCCAACTGGACCGACTCACTATCAGTGCGCCCCCCCCCCCACGCATGCTCGCAGCAGCGGAGCTTGGTGTGTGGAGGTTGCTGATGCCCCCCCCCCCCATTGCAGTCCACAAAGGGAAGGTTCTCGACCGCCACTCGTACGAACCGGCCTGGCTGGGCGCGGGGCGGGTGCAGCTGCAGCTGCTGGGCGAGCCCTCGCCCCTACGCGACGACGACTATTTCGATGACGACGACGATGCCGTTGCTGCCGCCGCCAGGTGTTCTTCGGCTTCAACCTGCGTGCTTGCCTGAGCACGTGTCGCAGGCAAACTCGTGGCTGCCTTCACCGCTGGATGTTGTGTTGTTGTTGTTGTTGTTGTGTCACCTGTACCTGCGCTACATTGAATGGGCGAGGTGATGAGCTTGCACTTGCGGTCTGCGAAGGGGAGGCGCGGCACCAGCATGTTGCTGATGACGAAGGGGGAGATGTCGTTTTGTTGTTGTTTTATTTGTGTGTGTATGTGGCGTCAAAAGTCGGAGAAGTCGTCGCCGGCGGTTGGGGCGTACGGTGCCCTCTTGGGCGAATAGTGGGCCGCGTGCTTGCCGCCCTCCTTCTCCGTCTCCTCCCGCTGCTGCTGCTGCTGCGGCTGATGGTGGTGGTGGTGGTGATGGGACATCAGCCTCGATTGCTGATCCTTCCCCGCCGCCCGCCCACCATCATCATCGCCGCGCCCGTCGGCCCCGTGGTCGACTCGCCCACGCTCCATCTCGCCCTGCAGACGTACAACCACCACCGGCCAATGAAAGATTAATGGTCAAGTGGTGATCAATTTATCAACGACGCTCATTGGGCAGAGGGAGGGAGGTTAACCTGGAGGGGGCGATAGGGCGTGTGTCGTCGGCGGAGGGTACCGGTGATCTCCTGCTCCTCGAGGCACAGGGCGAGGAGGGTCTGGACCCAGTCGAAGAGGAGGTAGAACGTCTCCATCCGCTCGGCCCGCAGGACGGCCAGGTTGCACAGCACCAGGTGGCTGTACACGCCCCACTTCATCAGAAAGTCCCCCATCGACCGGGCCTGCGACTCAAACTCGCCCTACAAGCCCCCCCCCAATCACGTGCCACGCAATGAGAAGAAGAACGAAGAAGAAGAACGGGGCAGCAGTGGTAAGAGGGGGGGGGTAAGCGAACCTTGGCCACGCTCTCGGCCAGGCGCATGAGCCAGGCGGACCAATCGTCGAGGCGCCTGCGCTGCTGCAGCAGCACCGTGTACCCCTCCCGGACTGCACACGCACAAAAGAATGGGATAGAGTGAGTGAGTGTGTTGTTGTTGTTGTTGTTGTTGTTGTGTGTGTGTGTGTGTTGATGACGATGACGAGTGGCCATGGTCATGGGCGCGTACAGGTCATGGCGATGTGGCGGAAGCGGCCGTAGATGGCGGTCTTCTCGTCGATGAAATCAAAGTCGAGTCGGTGCCACCCGGCAGTCATGGCCTGCACCTCCTCCCGCCCCGCGTCGTGTTCCAGGACCTGCGCACACACGCGGACGATGAGCACCGCATAATCAGCCAATCACTAACTTTCGTGGTTCCTTTGACGAGACGACGCGGGGAGGAAAAAGTCAACTGTTTTGTTCTACGTACCGCCCGCAGCCGGGTCGACAGGCGAGCCACGACCGCACGCGAGCGGAGGGTCTTGGAGAAATTCATGGCCGCTGGTTGGGGGGGAGGGGGAGAGAACAAAGACGAGAGTCAACGCAGCGACCGACGTTGAAAGTCAAGGCAAAGTCAAAGTTTGGTGGCGGTGCAGTACTCCTGGCCTTGGACTCGGCGAGGGCGGGCGGGAGCGAGTAGGTCATCGCGGCCTTGAGCAGGGGGACGAAGGATTCGGCCAGGTGCAGGAGGCGGCTCAGCTTGTCTTCGCTCGTGTCGGCCAGCACGTCGGGCACCAGCTGCCCCACCATCCACTGTGCAACAGCAACAGCAACACACGCACGCACACGCACGCACACACACGCACACACACGCACACACGCACACACACACGCACGCGCGTATGTCAGCCACGTGGGGCATGGGATGACGGCATTGGGGTGGAGGGGATGCGAACGCCGTAGAACTGCAGGTCGCTATCGGCGATCTGGTCGACTATGGCCTGGGAGGAGAGCAGGTGGTGGTACTTCTTCATCTGCTGGTCCGAAGCACGCGCGTTTAGCGTTGTGGAGCCATAACGCTCCACACACACACACAACGCGCGCGCGGATTGGTCGGGGTACCTGTGGGTAGAATGCGCAGAGGGCAGATTGGAGGACCTCGTAGTTGAGGTACGCCCCGCTCATGATCCCGCACACCTCCTGCTGATGACTCCTGCACATCGCACGCCGTACGCGTTGGTCCACGCGTCTCTTCATGACACACGACACACCGCACGACACGCATGACACGACACACGCGCATCCACAGGAATATGTGCGAGTTTGGTACCGGTAGAGGGAACTGAAGGATTCGGCGTCCTGCTTGAAGTCGGGATGCAGCTGGTGGGTGCTTAGCGCAAAGTGGGGCATCTCACCGCCGACGGCGGAGATGCGAGGGACCGCGAGCAGCGACGAAGGCGCCACCTCCGACGACGAATAGCTGAACGACGAAAACGGGTTCGCCCGTTTTTGCGTCTCTGATCGCGATCACGACACGACACGACACGACACGACACGACACGACACGACCAATGACGCGACCAACGACACGACACACAACGTCGTCACACTTGTCAGAGGAATGTGAACGCGGGAGATCATCGGGAGATGCGCGCGAGAGGCCGGGGCGCACCATCGAAGCAGGGAGGCGGGAGAGGGTGGGGGAAGCCCGAGGCGACGGGCGGCGGGAGGAGCGGGTGGGGCGAGCGCCGCCCCGCCGCGAGCGTCGAGAACGGAGGCGGCTCCTCGCCCACACCACCGCCACCGCTGCCACTGGTCGTGCCGGGGTGATCGTGTCGCTGCTGATAGTGCTGGTGATGCTGATGATGATGCTGATGCTGGTGTTGATGATGATGTTGCTGCTGGTGGTGATGATGTGTGGGTAGCGTGGTGGTGCTGGCGGTGGTCGATGAAGACGACGACGATGATGAAGAAGAAGAAGAAGAGAGCGTGGGAGAAGAGGAGGAGGAGGAGGCGGCGGCGGCGGTCCAGCCGAGGCCGGCGGTGAGGGCGGAGAGGAGGCCGCCGGTGAGGTGGAGGTGGGCGGGGGCCTGTCCGGCGGGGCGGCGCCGGAAGTGGTTGTAGTGGTGCGAGGTCTGGCCGCGGCGGCCCAGCCGGCGCGAGGTGATGTCGGGGAAGACCATGCGGAGGATCTTGCCAAAGGCCGGCGCGTTGGTGGCCTCGAGCTGGTGGTCCCGACAGAACGCCAGGTAGTCCCCGTACACCTCCCGCTTCGGCAGCGCGTGGCCGGGCGCCATGTCGTACGCATTCACCAGCCTTGTGGTTGAAACCATCCACAACCACACAAGATGATGTGTTCAACATCTCCATCTTCCTCCTCTCCCCCCCCCGCCGATGAGATGAGCGAGTGGTACCATTGGAGCACGTTGGGGAGGGCCTTTTCTTTAGGGATGAGGGAGCCACTACTGTCGGCCCGGTTCCCGCGCTCGTTCTGGGCAGCGGCGTCCATGTCGTCCATGTCGTCATCGTCGTCGTTATTGCCGTGGCCGTTCATCTCTCCTCCCCCTTTGGCAAGAAGATCTCGTGCGTCTCAAATGAAACAAAAAGAAAAAGGAAAATACCAAAAACAAACAAATCAAATTGAAAATAGAGACAGGAAAGAAAAGGAAAAGAGCACATCTTTTTCTGGGCCTTTGCAGCATCAACAATCAACAAATCATCAGAGCAGTGAAGAAGCAACATGCAATCGAAGGGCGTGCGCCGCTACAGACCGGGTCAGGTGCAGCTCCTTTTCATGCCCCTCTCTCCTCAATCTTTTTTTCGTTTTACACTGTCTCGTGCACACCGATTTACGTTGGGGATTTCATCAATCATTATAATGACAGGCACCCAAATGGGCGAGCGAGGATGGAGAGGACGCCAGCCTGCCTGGCCCATCATCTGCCGCCGCGAAGCTGGCCGGCGCCTCGGCGCCTGCCAAGAGCGGTGCCGCCACGGGCGGCGGGCGGTGGGACGTCGTGGGCAAACCCGCGGCAGCGGACGAGCAGCAGGACCGTCGGCTGCGACGGGCGGCCCAACGACATACCAGCCGCGACGACGACCAAGGTGGCGGTGGTGAAGAGGACGAGGACGAGGCGCTGCGTCGGGCCGCTCGCCGTCGCCGCCAGGAGGCCGAAGTGGTCTTCATGGCCTCCTCCTCCTCATCACCTTCTTCTTCATCATCCGTACGTCGTTCGCCTCCTGCCATGCGATGGCAATCTACCACTCAGTTTGTTGACATGGTGTGTCGTTGGCCGTGTCGTGTAGGCCTCGGCCGAGGACGGAGGACGTCGCCGTCGCGCGGTGGCCGAGGTGGTGGTGGCGACGGCTCCCGCCAACGGTGCACGGTACGCGCGCCCGTGCGTGATTTCGCCGCCCACGCTCGCCGCGCATTCCCTTAACCCCCCATCGTAATGAGGCGAGTTTGCTGATCGGTGAGCTGTGTGTGTGTGTGTGTTGTGTTGTGTTGTGTGATGTGTGCCACTCACAGGGCCGGCGACGCCACCTCCGCGGACGATGATGAAGACGAGGAGGAGGACAGCGTGCTGGAGCGGCGGATGCGGCTCAAGGCCAAGATCCGGGAGCAGGAGGAGGAGGACGAGGAGGAGGAGCTGGCCAAAATGGAGGACGAGGCACGCCCCTCCCTTCATCACATTCCCCCCCCCGCAGCCGCCGCTCGTACCATTGGATTGGGGGGTGCCTCGTCTCACGTGTGCGTCTTGTGGCGACGGCGGTGGTTGGGGGGGGGGTGGCAGGAAGAGGAGGAGAGCGAGGAGGAGGGCAGTTCGGAGTACGAGACGGACACGTCGGACAGCGAGGACGAGGGGGGCTACGGCAGCCGCCGGCCCGTCGTGGCGCCCACCTTCGTGCGCAAGCAGGACCGGGACACCATCCGCGAGCGCGAGCGCAAGGAGCAGGAGGAGGCCCTCCAGGCCCAGAAGGTACACCCCCCCTCCCCCCTCACAGACTGACTCTCCCTCTTCTTCCTTTCGTTCTCTCTTTCTCTCTTCGCGGATGCAAACTGAACACGGCCCGACCAACGACACCACACGACCAACGACACCACACGACACTACCCACGGCCCGCCCGCCCATCATCAGGAGGAGGAGCAGAAGGAGCGCAGGAAGGCGCAGACGCGGGATCTGCTGGTGGAGGCCATCCAAAAGGAGCGCGCCGATGCCCAGCAGAACGAGGGCGGCGACAACGACGGCTCCTCTTCCGAGTCCGAGGCCGACCCCGAGGAAGAGGACGAAGAGGTACAGCACGCGACACACACACCACACGCACACACGCACACACACACACACGAACTGAGGCCGCGGCTTTGCTCATGGCGGTGTGCACTGGTTTGGGTGGGTTGGGTTGCCACATGCGTAGGCCGAGTTCGAGAAGTGGAAGATCCGGGAGTTGAAGAGGATCCGACGGGACCAGGAGGAGAAGCTGCAGTGGGAGAAGGAGCTCCAAGAGATCGAGAGACGACGGTGCGTGCCCCCCCACTATATATATTTATATTTATATTTATAATACTCCTTCCTGACTGGGGGAGGGCGCAGAGGCCTGTCCGACGCGGAGATCGCGAAGCTCGACGCGGAGGCGCTGCAGCCCAAGGAAAAGAAGAAGTGGAAGTTCCTGCAGAAGTACTACCACAAGGGCGCCTTCTACCAGGACGACGAGCTCGTCAAGGAGACCGGTACGCACCTACGCCTCTCCCCACCCCACCCCCGTGTTGGCTCGCTCTCCTCTCCTGTGGCGTTCATAATAATAATAATAATAACAATAATAATCTCAGATTATTCGGAGCCCACGCTGGAGGACAAGTTCGACCGTACGATCCTGCCCAAGGTCATGCAGGTCAAGAACTTTGGACGCGCCGGCCGCACCAAGTACACCCATCTCGTCGACCAGGACACCACCTACCTCGGCGGTACACCCCCTACCCCCCCCCACCGCAGCTCCTCCCCTCTGGCGGGCCACTCACTCGCGTGTGTGTGTGTGGTGCGCAGGCGGCAAGACCAACCCGTTCGCGCGTCCGGGCGAGAATCCGGCGGGAGGCGCGCCTGCGGCACCGGCAGATCGGTGGGACCCGTGGAGCGTGGCGCCGGCCCTCCGCGCCAAGTACACGCAGAAGATGGGCGGCGTGGGCAGCGTGGACGACCCCCTCCACCGCAAGCGGAAGAGGCCCGGCGCCGACGGCCACCAGTAGTTGTAGTGGCTCTCAGGCACTTCTCCTCCGAAGCAGAAGCAGAGACCTCGTGTGCTGGACAGAGGTGCACCTCTACGTGCGCGTGTGGTGCGCGCGTGTGTTCGCGGAAGGCGAAAAGAAGTGCGATAGGAAAAAGGGCGCCATGTAACCTTTGCACGTGTTGTTGTGTGTGCGTGCACTCCACACATCTGGAGATGCGCACACGCGCATTGGTAGCAGCAGCCCACCTGCGCAGTGAGGCCTCACTGCTTGGCGGCGAACTCGTTGACGGGGATGCCGAGCTCCTCCCAGAACTTGAGCCGGCCCTCGGCCACGCACGCGCTGAACGCCTGACGCTGCGACGCGCACGAGTCCTCGGTGCCTGGTGCGGTTTGGGGGGGGGGCACCCGCGTGTATGCAGAGGCACGTTGGAGCTTCTTCAGCTGGCTGGCGATTTGGGGCGGGTCGGTAGTAGTAGTAGTAGAAGAAAGGCGCGTACCGTTGCGGAGGCACTCGCCGAGCGTGCGGCCCTCGGCGGGGCAGATGACGGAGCCCACGCAGAGGTCCACCTCCTTCAGCTCGACCTGGCACTTGGAAGCGTCACCCTGAACATGCGCGCGGACGAGATGAGTTGCGTGCGTGCGTGCGTGCGTGCGTGCTGGAGAGAGGGAAGGAGGGAAGGAGGAGTTCGTGCCTTGTTGGCCTCGATGCAGGAGGTGAGCTTGTCGGACGGACCCGCGCACGCCTTCTCGGTCCGGTCGACCAGCGAGTGCTGCGGGTAGCGGTCCACGAAGTGATCGAACGCCGGCCCTGCGACGGCAAAGAAAAATGAAGAAAAAGAAAGAAAGAACGTACGCAAAGAAAGAAGAAGAGGGATGAGAATGAGAGGTGGTGTGAGTTGTGCGTCGCACGGGCCACACACCGCACGGGCTTGTTTGCAGGCGTGCGGGGGGGCGGGGATACCGGTGCAGGCGCGAAGGGCCTTGATGTCGTCCTGGCACAGGGAGGGGTTTCGCCGCGTCTGCAGACACGTCACAGCTCGCTGCGCTTGCTGGGGGCACAGCAGCTCACTGTCCACAAAAAGGGTTATAACAATTATTGTTAGAAGTCTTTTTAGTATGTATTATGGAGTATTTAGATAATTGTTTGATTTAAAAATAACCGATAAAAATATTTACACATTGGATCTGTCTTACGTACGCAAAGCAGTGCAGGCGGAGGGATTCCAGCTGGAGGCACTCCTCATCATTTTCGCCCTTCACGGCCACGCACTGATCCGCAGCATTTCCTGTAAATGGGGGGGGGGGTTGGAGAGGGACTTGCGGGAACCGGCACATTGGTGCACGTACCGAGGCCGAAGCAGTTGGAGAGGCGCTCGCCGATGATGCGGGTGAGAGCTTGTCTGCGTTCGTCGGCCATCTTTGAGTTCTGGCGATGAGAGGAGGAATCGAAGAAAACAGCGCGACGCCGCCGGCCCAAGCTGCGAATGTGGTTTGTCGACTGTCGAGCTACAGTGTCGACGAAATGAAGCGATTTTTTGCCGCGTCGCCACACTCGAGTTTGGGGTCGAGGGCAAGGAGCCGTTAGGGCTTTTTACAAAGCCACCAAGCAACCAAGAAAGAAGTGGGTGCTGTTGCTATTTTGATATTACAAATTCGATTTTGCCCGAGCTTGTCGGGGAGCCACCAGCCAGCGACCACGGCTTACTTCACAGCCCCCCTAATCATGGATCCTCCTTCTTCCTGGAAGGGGGAGGAAGAGGACGACGGGAACAAAAGTAGCGAGAATGACCGCTCCATTTCATTCATCATCGACGACGATGACGACGACGAAGAGGACATCGATCGATACAATGTGGAGATGGATGAGGAGGTGACCTCGCCCGGCCTGCCACGGCCAGACGAATCCGCATTTGCGAGTACTCAGCCCTCCCGCTGGAACCAGGTCCAGTCGGCCGGCCCCAACAAGGAACTGGGCAAGCGCAAGATGCCCATGCCCCCTTCTCCTTCGCCCGCGCCCGTCTACAAGGCCCAGGCGCGCGTCCTCTCCTACACGCCCGCCCCGCCCTTCCTCTCCTCCACCGCCTCCACCGCCGCCGCCGCCGCCGCCATGGGCTCCTTCAGCGTCCACCAGCCCCACCACTACGCCGCCCACCCGCACCACTCCGCCCCCTCCTTCAACCCCGAGCTCTTTCGACAATGTACAACCCCCCCCTCCTCTCCCCCCAACCACCCCCAAAGCCCTCTCCCCCCCTCTCTCCCGTCCTCGGGTCTTCTCCTTTCTCGTTCTCCTTCCTTCGTCGCTTTCGTTCTCTCTCTCTTCTTCTCTAGAGTGCTTCTCTTCGCTTCTGGTCTCTCTTCTGGTTCCCTCTCTCTATGGGCTGTGGGCGGGATGGGGTGGACCCGGGGGTCGCCTCGTGGGTGTTGCCGCCCCGGCCCCGCGTTCAATCGAACCCCCTTTGGGCCTTGACTCCCCCCCATTTCTCTTCTCATTTCTCTTCGCTTCTCTTCTCTGTTGCACGTGCAGGTGCGACGCCCGACCCGGGCAGCTCCAAGTACGAGTACGAGTACGAGGAGGAGGCCTGCATCGGGAGCGGGTCGTTCGGGGAGGTGTTCCGCGTGCGGGGACGGCGGGACCAGCAGCTCTACGCCATCAAGAAGTCCAAGCCCTTCACCGGCAAAGCCGACAAGTCAGTTCCCCCTCCCTCTCTTCTCTCTCTCTCTTTGTTTGCTTCCGCTTTCTCTCTTTTCTCGCGCGAACGCAGCGGCAGTTGCTCATCGGTGGACCCCTCCCCTGAAACCCGAACAGGAAGAGCAAGATGAAGGAGGCCAGCACCATGAACAAGCTCAAGCATCCCCACTGCGTCAAGTGCGTAACCATTCTTCTTCTTCTCCTCCTCCTCCTTCTCTCTCTCTCTCTCTCTTTGCACGACTGTGTCGTATGGACGGCTAACGGCGCGGGCACAGGTTCGTGGACGCGTGGGAGGAGCGGGCGTCGCTCTACATCCAGACGGAGCTTTGCGAGCTGGGCTCCCTGAAGGACTTCATGTACAAGCACGGCCCGCTGTCCGAGGACCAGATATGGAGCTTCCTCACCGACATGCTCCTGGTACCTCTCTCTCTCTCTCTCGTTGCTCCCCCCCCATTGCCGGGACCGACCACCGCGCTAAATGATTTGAATCGTGCAGGGCGTGCGGCACATTCACGACCAGAACCTGTTGCACCTGGACATCAAGCCCTCCAACATGCTGCTCGTGTGCCTCGAGTGCCGGCGGCAGTTCATCGGGGACGGGAGCGTGGACCACTCGCATGCACAGGTGCCCCCCTCTCTTTCCTCGTCACTCCCTCCCCGCCCGCTGCCGTGCTTACCCGGCCTCTTCTCGCCGTTGCGCAGGGACCCGATTCGGTGCTGGTCAAGGTGGGGGATTTTGGCCAGGCCATCGCCAAGGGAGAGTGGCAGGGGGAGGACGGGGTACCACACGCACACGCACACACACACACGCACACACACGCACACACACGCACAGCACATACTTTTGTCCTATCAAGCGAGCACTGACGCTTCGCCTCCCTTTTCTTCACCGCACACAGGATGGGTGCTACATGGCACCGGAACTGCTGCAGTGGAACCGAAACGAGTCCACCAAGACAATCGGATCAGCGGCCGACATTTTTTCACTGGGCGCCACCGTATTCGAACTGGCCGCCAACGTGCAAATGCCCAAGGGGGTACTGACTTTACTTTACAGCTTCACTTTCATCCCCCCCCCCGAGTTGTCGTTTCTTTCCTGGCCATTCACACTTGCGCGTGTGTGGTGGGTGGTGGACGCAGGGGCGATTGAGTGCCAAGCTGCGGGAGGGCAAGATCCCGCGCCTGACCCGGTCGGCCGAGTTGTGCAAGGTCATCCACGCGATGATGCGACCAGAGCCATTTGAGCGGCCCTCGGCCGAATCGCTGCTCGCCACGGAGCCCCGCATCAAGAGCATTCTCCAACGACGACTCGACACCAACTGGGTACCGCACGCTCACTTAGCCTTTATCGCCCGCGGCCCTCGTTGTGTTGTGTTGTCTCTCGCGTCGGCTCGAGCACCTCCTAAATCGTGCGATGATCTGCGACACCCACAACACCCACACCCACACACACACACACACACAGTATGCGCCCATAGTGGAGCGACAGTCCTCCACGCGGATGCTCCACGAGGCCCTCAACCTCGCGCCGCCGTTCGACAATCATCGGTTGTCCGCCAGCAACGGGAACTCCGGCGCAGAGCAGCAGCAGCAGCAGCAGCAGCAGCAAGATCACAACCGCAACCACCGCCGCCACGAAGAACACGACCACGACGCCGGCATAGCGCAGGGGGACGGGGAGCAGCCCAAGGAGGACAAGATGAGTGCCGAATACGAACCCGTCCATGCCGACCACCAGGTACCGTCCGCGCCTCGGTCTCGGGTGTGCGGTGTGCGTGTCGCACGCGCACGCTCACTCACCGGTGGGTTCTCCCGCAGAGCGAGTTGCCGACAGCGGACGACGACGATTTCCTGCTGCAGGAAGGCCACCCGCCTGGCCAGCGCGCCGACGAGGACTCGTTCGTGGCATTCATCTCCCCGCTGCCCAAAGACCCCCTCACCAAGAGTACTCTCGTCCCCGCCAATCGCCAATCACTGCCCCCTCCCGGGATTTGTTTTGATTAACGATTGGGCCGTGGCCGATCGATCACAGCGTTCACGCCGAGGGGCTACAAGATGTCGCGGACGGACTCGTTCGAGGAGTTCCGCCCGCCGCCCGCCACGGAACTGCGCCGCGCTACGACGTCGTCGGTCACCTTCTCCTCGCCGCTCGCGACCGCGGGCGTGCTCCAGTCGCCCTTCACCTGCCCCACCTCCAAACCGTTCGTCCGTCCCGCCACCGCCCGCAAGGCCCCGCTGCCGCTCTTCAACGGATTCGCCTCACTCACCGCCTCGCCCAACAGCCTCGCGTATGCGCCCTTGCTCGCCCCTTCCCCCTCGTCGAAGCTGTCCTCACTCATCAGTCGTTGTGTGTGTGTGTGTGTGTGTGTGTCGCGTGTGTGTCGCTCGGCAGGAAGGGCCGGAGTAAATCGTCCCGATCAAGGCGGCGATCAGTGGCCGACGACGAAGAGGAGGTGGAGGAGAAGGAGGAGGAGGGACCCAATGACTCACTCCGATTCAGCGAGCAGCAGGACGACACCAACGGCCGTTGCTAGGCCCACGCTCCCTGGGCGTTGTTATGAGCACCCGTGCCCGATCCTTGTTGTGGGTAGTGATGACGATGGTGGTGCTGTACACACCACGCGCTGGTGGTTATGGTGCTACACGAAGATGTAAATAGTGAAAGAGATTTGATTAAATTGTGAAAGAGAAGAGCCAACAACCGCCAAACCAGTGAGCACCATCACACCATGACAGTTCCAAGGCAAGCCAGAAAAAGCTGGTGACTGTGTTGAGAAGCAACAGCTGAGTGCAGTGTGGGTAAACACACAACATCTCATCAACAAACAAAATACCCTGCCACACAATAAAAAGTGACAGGTGTGGTTGCTGAAGGTGACATGGCCTCAGCCAGGAACTGGTGGACAACTAGTGCCACTGGCTCTGCACTGCCACTGCAAGCAGGAGAGTATCTAAATTCCTTGGTGAGGGTTGGCTTGATCACCAAGAGGCTTTCTCCCACTCAGCCAGTCTTCCTGTGCAAGCCCAAAGGTCACCACTGTCACCTCTCACCAAGAAGTAGAGGGTGATGTTGCTGGCATGGGCTGGAAGGATCTTGTGGTGAATGCCATTGCATCACCACAAGAAGAAAATAAAGGACAACTTGCTAACCCAGTGACTTCTATATTTTTTACCAATGTATCTTCTTCAAATTCACCTCAATTTACAAGCATTCAAATAAATTGCTCACCAAAGGCACTGTTGAGTACCACCAGCACTACCTCAACAAACAAGATGGTAGAAACACTCACCTTGCTGTTGGTCCATTGTCTGCTGATCAGCTCCACTGTCCATTGGTCCTCTAGCAGCAGAAATCAGCCTTTTTCATTGTCAGCAAGAATCCACGGTGGTGAGAACATGCGGCTAGCCGTTTGGCTGCCAGCGGTTAACCAGCATTATGCACCCCTTCACTAGCACTGCTTTCAACCGTCTCTGCTACTCTCACGCTCGCGAGCCGCTGAGGCCCCGGAGGGACTCGACGGCGGTGTTGAGGGTGCATCCCACCCACCGGTCCACCTCCACCTCGCACACCTCCTCCCTGCCCCCGCCTGTGGACCAAACACAACACACGACACGACACGACACGACACGACACGACACGACGCGACAGACCTCCGTCAGTTCGCCTGCAACCACGTCACGAGCACGTGGGAGGCCTCAGCGGGGTACGCGTGCGTACTGGATTGCAGGCAGGCGCGGACGGCGCTCAGGCGGGCGGGGCACGCCACGCGCTGAATGCACGCCGACATCTCGTCCAGGGGTTCCTCGCATACCTCCGCCAGGCGCTGCTCCCCGCCCTGTTTTATACGGTTAAACAAAAGTTGAGACAGCTGTGTCAGGAGACTCAAACTCACCACGACACACACGATAAGGGCTTGGTCGACCAAAAATCCCCGAAGGGGGGCAGCCTTGGAGGTAAGGTACCTGGGCGGCCATGAGGGCGTGGCATTTGTGCAGCCGGGTGAAGGGACCCTCGCACAGCTCCACCATCCGCTTCTGCCAACCTTCGTCGAGCTTGGCCTGTGTGCCACACACGCACACACCGACATGACAAATCAACTTATCGCGCACACGCCGCGATGACTCATGCGCACGCAAAAAGAAGAGCTGCCGCCAGTACCTGCTCGCGGATGTGGGTGGTGTCGCGCTCAAAGTCCTCGCGGAGGCCATTGCAGGGGCTGGGGTCGCGTCGGTGCTCCGCCACACACTCGAGCACGACGCGCGCGCGCGGACCCATGAACGTGCTCTTCGCCCTGTGGACAGCCCCCCTCCGGGGGCGCGGTCAGCGGACCTTTTCCGCGACGCGGCCATTGCCCCCCCCCCTCTCTAAAGGGCGAGTAGCGCGACGAGGCCTAACGTGCGTACCGCAGGCAGGAGAGGGCGCGGGCAGTGGCCTCGCGGCATGCCGGAGCGAGGGCGTCGTTGGTCGTCGTCGCAGTCGCAGTGCCGCACACGCTGTCGGCGTGGGCGAAGAGGCCCGCGCACGCTTCGTTCTGGTTGCCTCCTCCTTCCATGTTTGCTCTTCGTATGTGCGCAGTTCCCCGGCAGGTCGACCGTGTTGTTCCAGGAAATAGTAAAGAAAATGGCACAAGTAATGTGCAGTCGAGAAAAGCCTAGGGAAAAGCGGAGGCACCCCAAAGCCCGAGAGAGACCACACCTAAGCACCTCGTCTCGGAGGAGCATAACAGCAGCGGCGGAGCAGGAGAGCCATGGGAGACACGCAGCACGATGCACCCGACTACGACCACCTCTTCAAAGGTGCACCACCCCACCCCTTAACACCCCGCAGAGTGGGGGGGGCTGCTGCCAGCTGCTGCCTCCTCCTGCAGAGCGCATCTTCTCACCTTCTCACGTGTCCACGCATGTGGCGTGGCGCGGTGCAGTGGTGCTCGTGGGCGACTCAGCTGTAGGTACGGCGCCGCCCTGCCTCCTTGTGCCTCGTGGGTGTGACACGAACATGGGCACAAACCACCGTGCGCGTTGGGTCGTGTGTGTGTGTGGGGTGTGCGTGTGTGCGTGCGCAGGCAAGTCCAACCTGCTGTCTCGCTTCACGCGCGACGAGTTCACCCTCGACTGCAAGAGCACCATCGGAGGTGACTGG